GATCTGGGGGGAGGAAACTTACTCTCAGGCTGGTGCAGTCCTCCTCGGCGAGGAGAAAGGAGGTCAGGTCTACAAAGCCGACGCGCGTCTGGGCCGCTATGGACGAGTTGGCACCATAGCCTCGCTTCGTGAGGTGCTCGTCATCGCCGTCGTCGCCGTTCTTCTCTTGGTCGTGGTCGTGGTCGTGAGGCTTGTGGCAGTGCCAAAAGTCCATCATCTCAGCCCAGTTCTCGCTCGGCAGGTCCTTCCACACGTCTAGTCTGCCCTCGGGAACGACGGCCTCGCCGCACTGCCGGCATGCCATGGCTGACCTGGGGGTCAAGTCCTGGGCGCTCCACGGGATCGTCGGCTGGAGCTCATCACGCGTGCTGGGGAGCGCGACGGATGTTGAGACGGGCAGACGCCACGCGAGCGATGTTGGGCCAGATGGTGGTGTGCTGGGTATGGGCAGAGCTGAAGGCGCGGACACTCGTCCTGGAAGGCGCGCCTCTTTCGAATCGCCTCTGTGCGTGACCAGGATGCTGTCGCCATTGGCAGATGTCTGGACGCTGGTTGTGGCATCGGCTGGTGAAGGGAGAGACACGGCGATGGAGACGTGTCGAATGTTGGGAAGAAGCTCTGCATAGATGACGACGGTGTCATACATTGCGATGGGGGCCATTTTGGGCGCCCAATCTCCCCTGAAACGAGGGAACGATGAAGAGCAGTTGGGGTGATGTTGAAGCTCGGTGGTCCTTCAGAGCTCGGTGGTCCTTCAGTGAGAGAGAGAGATGGACAGAGAGAGAGAGATAGAGAGAGAGCACAGGCTGTGAAGTCAAATGTGAATGATGCTCCACTATAGCCATCCAAAGCGGACTAGCTCCATTTACCACCCAAGCTCTTGTCGTCCTTCATGCTAGAGCTAGCTCCAGAGAGGGTTACATGCACACATTCGACGACGACGGCGACGACGACAACGACAACGGTCTCTTTGCACACGCACCGCCCACCCTCTCTCCAGCTTCGTCTTCACCTCCGATCAGAGGCCTCTCGACCCATCCGGTCGACCCACGCCGGGGTGTCTCAGAGCATCACGCCGTCACCATGTCCTTCCTCCACGCCTACATGAACAGTACGTCCCCAGCACAGGGGTCCCCAAGCCGCCAACGGCGCAAGCCGTGCGCTCTGAACGTAGACTGACGCCCCATTCACAGAGAAGGTGCTGATCATCACGGCCGACTCGAGAATCCTGGTGGGCAACCTGGTGGCCTCCGACAACAACACAAACCTCGTGCGCCCACCCCTCCCCGCCCCCGCCATTCTTAGCCCGAGGCCCCCCCCCCTTCTCCCGCTGACACTCGTCCTCGCAGGCCCTCAGCGACGCGCACGAACGAGTCATCCAGACGCCAGACAGCGACGAGCCCTCGGTCGAAGTCCCGCTCGGCCTCTACATGGTCCGCGGCGACAATGTGTGCACCATCGGCCTCGTCGACGAACAGCTCGACAGCTCGATCAACTGGACGGAAGTGAAGGGCTCAGCCATCGGAGGGATAAAACACGTCTAGAAAACACGAAGCCCGCCCACAAGACTTAAGACTTGGGAAGGGTGGCCTGAGGACGAGAAAAGAAGAGTGTCATGATTTTACGTTTACGAGCCGGATACCCAGAATGCCCGAGTTCAGGCCCAGCACACACCATTGCATTGAAGACGACGAACGGGAGGAGGGGAACAAAAAAAGGGCATGAGCCGGGGTGGCGGGGTTCAAGCAGCGGCAGCCGAAGCAAGACGAGGCACTGTAGACATGGGCTGGTAGTGAATGAATATTGGGTCTGTGCCTCTGGGTATGCGCCGCTCTTTCTTTCGCGGGTGATTTTTTCCCCTCTACGTGCGAGGCGAACAGATCCCTCCCTCCCCGCCTCTCCTTTTGGCGCTCTTGGAGAGGCCCCCTTTCCGTCCCTTCCCAGGTGATTGGGTCTACGCGAAAACCCTCTTCATCAGGTACTCAGCAAACGCATCCTCCCCTGGCGACTCGATGATCCTGTTGATCCTGTTGCCCTTGGTCACGTTGAGCCAGCCGTCGTCGTCGCCAGGGGCGTCGGCCAGCGTCAGCACGTCGACGTCCTCGGTTGTCGACGCGCTGAGCTCGACGGACGCCTCGCCGACCTTGGCGCGCGTGCGGCGGTCCACGACGTGCATGCCGCGCGTCCACTGGCCCGAGGTCTCGATGCGAATGTCCTCGAGCTGCGGCGTGCCCTTCCACCTGGCGTCCGACTGCGTGATGGCGTACCAGATGGTGAGGGGGTCGTGCAGCGACAGGCCAGGCTCGTTGCCGTCGCCGACGAGGCTGTCAATCTTGTTGAAGGTGCCGCTGAGGAAGTGGTTGACCCACACGGCGAGCGGGCTGCCGGCGTCGACGAACGGCTTGACGCGCTCGGTGAAGTAGTTCTTGTTGAGGAGGTGGGGCGTCGTAATGTCGAGGGGGAAGAGCGTCAGCTTGAGCTTGCGCGACAGCTTCTCCGGGTACGCGGGCAGCGAGGACCGCGTCTGGGAGAGCGGGGGCATGGTGGACTTGGGGCAGGGCGAGGTGAGGGCGAACACGCGGGCCGTGGCGACCGTGTCGGCGTACGTGTTGAACTCGGCGACGGGGGTGATGTTGCCCTCGACGTTCACAGCGCCGCCCATGACGAGGACCTCCTTGGCCTTGAGGAAGGTCTCCGGGTCCTCGGCGGCGGCGAGAGCAAAGTTGGTCATGGGGCCAACGGCGATCAGCGTGAGCGTGTCCTTGGGGCTCTCGCGCAGCAGGCGGAGGATTTCCTTGTGCGCCGGCTCCTTGGAGGCTGTGAAGTACTTGGAGTAGGGGGAAGGATCGTGGTCCAGGGTGGCCGAGTCCTTGTGGAAGAGGCTCTTCCACGTATCCTCGGCATCGAGGTGGGGGTGCTCGGTGTGCACGCCGTGCAGGCCGTCGACGCCGTCTGCGCATGTCAGTCAGCCTGAGACAGCCCTCTTGAGATGTCGATGCCGTGAGAACTTACGGAAGTAGTCAGCCATGAGCTGGTCATCCTCCAGGGGGTGCTCGGCGCCAACGGCAATGATGGGCTTGTGCGTCTTCAGGGTCCCAAAGTTCTCGGCCTTGCCGTTCTCCTTGCGCCAGATCAACTCCTTCTCCAGCACGTGGAACAGCGCAACCGCGTTCTTGAGGCAGCTGCCCATCGTATCAGCATCCAAAAGCTTGCCTTGTCTTCTGGGGGCCAACCTCCTGGGCTACTGACCTCTGAAGTTCGACGTTGCCGTATGTGACGGAGATCATGGCAACCTCGAGTTCGTCAGGGTTGACGGAAAGGGCGAGAAGCATCGCCAGAACATCGTCAACGCCTATCAACATGTGAGTCTCATGCCAAGCCAACAGGGTTTCACTCTTTTCGTACCCGGGTCAGTGTCGATGATGATGCGGTTGGGAGCCATCTTGAAAAAGCGTCGAAAGAATATCGAGAAGCAAAAATAAAAGATGCAGTGGTATCCAGAGAATGGCCGAGACGTAAAGACTGGTGACTACAAGAGGTTGAGGTGAAGCGGCACGAGGCTTAAGAGCAAAGTATGACTACTTGCGAGTAGCGGAGCTGGCCGATGTGTCGGCTTATCGAGCTTTCAACGCCGAGCAGTCAATCGTGGTGTTCCCCGTCTTCCACGGTTCTCCAAGCAGCGACCCCTCTTGCCCTTCCCCTCCTTGAGTAAGTAATGGTGGGGTGGATTAAGCCTGGAATATTCGACGCCAGACGCCAGAGGGGTGGGGTTAAACCCAATGAGGCATCTTGCAAAAGTGAGCATCGGATCACCTGGCAGCGGATTTTGCGAGTCGAAGAAAAAAAGAAGAAAGGCACTCAATGGATTAAAAGGCTCTCATGAATGCTGTGAAGGTGTAAAGAGGCAACACTGCTCAGACTGGTCACGTCCATTGGTCTGCCTATTCTCAGCTCGGTGTGTCGGCTGGGTGACCTCGGTGTGTTGATTCCACACCGTTCACAGAACAACTTGGCTGGGGACCGATTGTGACAACAAATTGAGAAGGAAGAAGAAGCTAATCCCAAAGTGGGAAAATCACATTGTTAGGCTGTGAAGAGCTGTGTCTGAAACAGGACTAGCGTTTAGAGAACGTCATCTTTCACGTGATGTGGGCTCCTCGATCCAGCGATATCGCTGGACGCTTCAATTAAATGGCCATTAGGGAATACTAAGGCTGTGCGGTCAGCGAGGAAATGCTGCACTGCCGCAAAGATCTTATCCCACCATGCACCATGATCCTTCATCTCGTCGTGCATCGAAACCTGACAACATCGTCCTCTGCTTGCTCCATCGTGCCAACGTGAATCGCATGTCCCCCAGCCAATCATTGGCCCCTTGAATCATCAGCACATCGCGAACCTCAATCTCTCCTATCGATAACCAGGAGGTAACGTGTTAACAACGGAGCCGCTCCACCACGCCTGCGAGCCACAACCTCTCATCGTGCTCCATCGGTAGTGTGACCCTGCCTTTCGTTCCCTCAACCCCGACGCACCACGCACCTCACGCACAGCACTGCCCTGCAGGCCCTCCAATTTTCTCCACAGACAGCACGTCCATCCCCTGGCTGGCAGCTATCCGGTCGCTGAAGCCACCTGGTAAGTACTCGATCACCTCAGCTTTTTTTGCCTCCTCTCGCCGATCCGTGGTTCAACACTACGTCTCGCTCCATCAACTACGAAGCATCACATCCTCTGCTGCACATCATCCCATTTCCCTCCCCTTGACCCAAACAATCGTTGCTTGTCCACTATCCCAAGAGTACCATCGCCAGTCTGGGGTTTTATTTGGAAGAGCTTCCTCCCCGGTCGTCTACCCCTGTATGCTTCACTTCCCCTTTCCACGCGCCAGCTGTCTTGAACCTCAGACTTTCTTCATCACCTCAATCATTGAGCAGTCCGTTAACCAAGCTTGATTCATCCAGTCTCTATCCGATCCGAGCACTTCAATTGAACCATCAAAGCTTGGTCCTTCCCGTGGAAGCTTGGACGCATTTCCATCAAGCTCTCTTCCCGACCCATCCCTCACCGAGCACACTCTCCCCTTGGATTGTCTGCACCGAAGCAATAATCACGCCGGTCCCTCATCTCGCTGGTCTTTGATCGGCAGTTCATCTCCTCGGGCTTCACATCACGGTCATCATGTCTTCCTCGGAATTCCTCACCCCCTCCTTTGTGGGCGGCTGGGCTACGGTCCTCGCCATCGCCGGCACCATTGGCTACAACTATTACCAGAAGCAGAAGCCCGTCAGCGCGCCCTCCAAGACCACCCAGGTGCCTTGGAGCCCTCCCAAGAAGGGAAACCGCGCCAAGAAGCAGCGTCAGGAGGCCTACGCCACGGCTGCCCAGAACGCTCCCCGTGACGAGACACCACGTGACGACTCTGCTGCAACGATCTCGAAGAAGAAAGAGCGTGACGAGGATGCCGACAACAAGGCGTTTGCGAGACAAATGTCTGGTGTCCAGGAGGGCGTCAAGTTCACCGGCAAGAAGGCGGATGCCGGCAAGAAGAGCAATAAGCAAAAGTCGGTCAAGCAGAGCCTCGCTGCCGAGCCTTCTGAAGTCGCCCACCCCATTGAGCTGACGCCCGCCGTCCCCGAGCAGGCCCCTGCCGAGGAGTCATCTTCTTCCAACGCCGATGCCGATGACGACCGCTCCCCTGTGGTCAAGGCTGCTGACGCCAGCGGCGTCAGCGACATGCTCGAGCCCTCTGCTCCCGGCCCTTCCGTCCTCCGTCTCACCGACACGGACAAGCAGACGTCCAAGCCCAAGGTCGCCAAGGCTGCCGAGCCCGTCGAGACAAAGAAGCAGCGCCAGAACCGCCGCAAGGTAGAGGAGCGCAAGGCCGTCCGTGAGGAGGAGGAGAAGCTGCGCAAGATTGCCATGGAGAAGCAGCGCCGCGGTGCCCGCGAGGCCGCCGGCATCCCTGCCAAGGACGGTTCCCAGTTCATGGCCGCCACCAACGGTGGCAAGTCTGCCTGGAAGGCCGGCAGCCAGCAGGAGGGCCAGAAGGAGACGATTGACGTCCAGCCCCTCGACACCTTCGAGACGACGACCACCAACGGCACCGCCGCCAGTGTCGCACCCGCGCAGAACAAGCAGACCGATGGCTGGAAGGCCTCGGCCCTGTCCGAGGAGGAGCAGATCGAGCTGATCAAGGAGGATGACGAGTGGGCCACTGTCCCTACCAAGTCGTCCAAGAAGGCCAAGAAGTCCCCGGGCAGCGACACGGAGGCCGCGCCCGCTCCCCCCAGCGCTCCCCCCAAGGAGGCCAGGCCCGTTCCCCAGCCCATCGTCAACAAGAGCAACTCGGCCAAGGCCAACCAGTCTTACGGCTCCTTCTCCGCTCTGTCTTCCAAGGTCGACGACAACGCCCAGGAGGAGGAGACCGAGTGGGACGTCTAAGCAGCTAATGTGGAATGGCACACCACAGGGAACCGACAATCCCCACATCCACCATCGTCAAAAACGCACACCATAATTGCCATTGGTATGAATGCGCACAATATTTTGTTCAACATGTACAAAAACCGCCAGGGGGGAAGAATCTTGCTGCCATGAGCGAATCCACTCGCGCCAATCACAGCAAAGGGGTAGGCAGGCAGGCAGGCAGGCAGGCAGGCAGGCACAGATTGTGTAGGTGAAACAAAAGCAGGTGAACAGCGAGACGGAGCTTTCTCGCGGTCCTGTCGTCTTACGCCATCAGACCGAGCATCACACGGGTTGGACGGAGCAAACCAAGGGACATTCTCCTCTCTTTCTCTTGTGTTGGTCATCTGAAAGTGAAGTTGGTTGGACTCGGCTGCTCTGAAAGGATGGCTCTGGTCGAAACTGTTTTTTTCTCCAGCTTTCCCACTCTGCAACGGGGAGGGACGCCACAAAAAAGGGAGTTGCGCGAATCATTAGGGGTTTTGCGCGCGTGCGTGAACCTACACCTTTCCATAGGTCATCAATTTCTTTTGCTTTTTCACCCAGTGGTCGGTCTCGTGCCCGTGTCTGATGTATGGTTGGCAGCAGCAGCGTGCAGCGTGTTTCGGGTCCAGCAACAGGCACATGCAAACATGCCACTTGCTGGCAGAAAGCATCCGAAAGTGTTGTCTGGGTCAGACTGTCGTGATGCGGCTCCCTTTGGCCTTGATAGGACGACAGAGAGAGAGAGAGAGAGAGAGAGAGAGCGAACGCCATGCGGGCCGCACATGCCCACGAAGCCAGAAAGTGGCGGCACATTCATTCTGCGCATGGGCTGGTAGTTGCCATCGCACAATGACGGAATCACCCTGCATCACGTTCTCCGTCAACAAAGTCAACAGCTGCTGCAGGACGAGGGAGTCAGATCAGCCGAGCCCGCAGTCCTCTCCCACCTCGAACACACGCCAACAGGGCCCCTCTTTGGCTGATTCAGTTTCGCACGAACGAGAAGGGCCAGCCACGAAACCAAGACAGCTGTACGTGGTGCCAGCAGGACCATTTCGTCCTTGTCCACGTAATCCCCCCCCTCCTTCTTCTTCTTCTTACCCGGACTTTGAAGGCGCCGCGGCGGAAAGCCTGGCACGCACCGCCCGCTTAACCTCTCACGGGACGGGTACGGCCGGGCGCGCGGCCACACAGACGAGGGCAGCTCCCCCCCGATCCGCGCCGAAGGGGCGTGTGCCAGCGTGCAGAGTGGCGGGTTCGGGGGCTCTGTTCTGTCGGCAGCAGGGCTGGTTGGTGGCCATGGCAACCCACGCACTCGAGATGAGGCCAGTGGGGGGAGCAGGCCACTACAGTACAGCAACTGGAGCACCTACTGTCGCTTGGGTAGAGTAGGACGGATGGTGATGGGCGGGGGGGATCACTCCTCGAGAAGTCGAGGGGGGGGGGGCCGCCCTGACGGATCACGAATGGCAATTGGTTGGACGGATGCTGTCGTGCAGGTCTTGGCCCCTTGCATCTCGTGGGAGGGTTTGTCTCCGTCGAGGGGCTTGCATTGGCACGATCATGGGGGTGGGGGGTGCATGTGTGTGTGTGTGGTTGACGAAACGAGAGAGCGCTGGACGAGAACGCGGCAACGTAGCTAGTGGAGAAGAGAAGTGATGATTTGCTTGCGAGCGTTCTGAAGTCTGAAGGATCTTAAACTTGCTCGCCCGGCCAAGGTTTTCTCTCCCTTGGGCTCTTGTCTTGCTGCTGCACTTGGGTAGACGGTGTCTGGGGCCAAGGCGGTCTAAAAGCGTGCCGGGTGGGTTTTCCCCTTCCCTTCCTCCTCGCTGGCTCTCTACGACTGGCTTGGTTGACTGGCTGTTGGATGGCAAAGTGGAATGGATGGACGGACGGACGAAAAGGGTCAGGACGTTTTCGTAGGCGGCGGGGGATTAAGTTCACTTGGTTGCTTGACGGGGCGGGGGAAGGAGGGGGGTCGGGGGGTCGGGGGTGGGGGAGAGGAACACGACGAGCACTAGCACTGGAAGGGCTGGAGGGGGGTTCAAATTGGCTCGGCCAGCGTTGCAGCAAACATGCTGGGAGGCTGGAGGCGAGATACTGCATGTGTGACGCTGAGTGTGATGATGTGTTACGATGCCTCATGCTGGCTTGCATTGACGAGAATGCCACGAGGGACGAGGATCCTCCCTGGGGATGAGGTCGATTCGTTTCAATGCGCCTTGGATCAAAAGGTGTGCTGCGCGTTGTGCTGTTTGGGACCGCGCTGTGAAGAAGGCGTCCAAGGTAGGGGTGACCTGGGTTCAAGTGGCCTGGGTTCAAGTGGCCTGGGTCCAGGCGACGGGCCTAGTGCAGTGAAGGCGGTGTCCTGTGTGGCGGCGGCGCGGGCTGGAAAAGGGAAGTCAAGAGTGAATATATCGCTCTCCATGTCGTGTTCTTCCGGCGGTGCGATGCGATGCAATGCACTGGAAAGGGAATGGAGGGGTTTTCGATTCGGAAAGAGACCGGGGGGAGGGGGGGGGGGGGGGGGTTGTTGGCGGCCGACGACCTTGAAGACATTCGGTCCCAAGGGTTCGGGGGCGCTTGTGATTTACCCGGCGAGTGTCCTCGACAAGCACCCCTCCATTCCAGCACGCGTCCTTTCGACCCGGCCTCCTTCCGTGCGACTTGCATGTCCATGTGAATTGCGAATGAAGGGCGAGAGGTGGTGCTCAGAATGGGCTTTTGCGTTTGCTCGGAAGGCTGGGTCATGGCAAATATGGCAAGGTATCGACGGCACTCTGCGTACATGCTCGGCTGGCTCAAAGCGCGGGATCTGTCAACGTTCAGGGTAGAAATATCACTGGTGTTAGGTCGTGGAGGGATTGAACCATGCCTCGCATCAGAGTCCCTCCCTTCGTCCACCTTTGATATGGAGGGGTGGATTGGAAGACGGCCGATCGCCGCCTGAAGTCTGGTAGACTGTCGATTGCAATTTGACACGGCTTGTGATCACAACTGCGCAACGAGCTGCTCAACATCACAGCGAGAGACGGGGACAGGTAGCGAAATATATCTGTATAATATATGGACACATCGGTCAGTGGAGGCACTGAGAAGGTGTAAATTGTCCAGGGCAGCCATCCATCACCTGGCGCCGAGCTCCTATCAATCAGACCAACCGTGCACTGGAGCTGCAGCCACCGCTCTGAAAGTTCTGGCAGACCTCTAGCAAGTCTGAACCACCAGTCTTCCGTTTGAACGACAAGCGAACGTGCTTCTCAACAGGCACAGAACCAAACATGCAAAAGTGGATGTCTTGCAAGGTGCACTGGAGGCGCTTCAAGACATGGGAACCACAAGGATCGCCGGATGGCGTTCCAGACGAAACACAGACATCCAGGCACACATGTGCAGGGGGACACAAGCGGGCCGCCGATGATCAACCACTTTGCGTGCTTTGCTGTTGACCTTGTCCCGACGTCACGGTGGGTACGCATGGCGCCCAAGAAAAAAGGCATGGCATATCCAATTGCCTCAGAACGACTAAGGATGAAGCCATGTTGGCTTGGCAAAGCTGGGTTCGGATTGAGTGGCACTTGGCCTGGATGCGTTTCCATCCCTCGTACCCCTCGTACAGCACTCCATGGCGACCCTTTTGATCGAGGAGGACGCCAAAGCACTAGTTAGCGATCAGGCGGGGCCACGATAGGGGGACGCAATCTCTCTGTGGCAGAGTAACGAGCGCCGAAACGAGGTGGGACACGCGCTAAAGAAAATAAAACCCCCTCTTCGATGCATCCATTCGTTCTTTCCCCAGAACCCTCCCCGGAACCCTGAAAAGACCCCCTCCCGCACCCTGCTGGACCGACAAGGCGACATACATATACAGCATCGTGGGCGTCTGTAGCGGCTGCCTTTGTCGGAAGGTCCCCACCGCAACCCAACCCAATTACGCCCCCCACTTGCATGGCCCCAGGCGTCGTCACTATACCACGCCAACCCCTGGCTCGATCTGCACCCTCCTTGCCCCCCTCCCCCGGCTGGTCCTCCTTCGTTGTCTTGTCCCTCTAACCTCGTCGTCCTCGCTCCTCCCATCCTCTCAACCTGGAAACGAACAGGTACAGGCTGGGAACGACGCCTTCACCTCTCGTCGGCCATACCAACCCCCAATATCCCCTCCACAAACACTCCGTCTATCCCCCCCTCCTTTTTGTCATTCTTTCACTTCTCACAGAGTCACGAAAACGCTTCCGACCGAGCCCCCCGGAACGGTTCAGTATTCTTACCTACCTACCCTTACGCAAGCATACACGGAGGATTCTGTGGCCTTTGCAGCAACTACAGGTGCCCATTGCGCCGCACGCCGCAAAACCCCTAAATAGCAACCACTCTTGAAACTCCCGTCTCTGACACGGGCCGCGTATCTCAATACCTCGCCTTCTCTCGTCGTTCGAACCTGTCTCGAACTCGGTGACTATTTGAACGCAACGAGGCGTGCTACCAAGGTGCAAAGCGATCAAGGTTGGTGGACATTGAGGTCTGGCACCTACATCTTCACCCGCGCTTCGCAACGGCCAACCTCTGGAGGTTGACCTCCCGCCACCCCACTCAATTCCCTTTCCCAATGACCTGCCGCCTTCAGGTCTCTTTCCGGTGCGCGCACATAGGACCGCTCTTCTCTACACAACGCCCATACCGACCCTCGATGCTCCCTGCCGCGCTACAGCTGTCCTGACGCTTGACCCGGACACTCCCCACGACGAAAGCAGTGGAGGACGCAAACACCCCAAGGCCGCAAACATGTCGCTTCCTGTGGCCATTCGTTCGGTCATATTCTACTACCTGGCTTGCACACCATGCAATGATGCAAAGGGGCGGTACAGGGCCAAGCAGAAGGCCAAGAAAGATCGCGAGAACAAGGCGACGCTCGAGATGGAACAGCCCGGCCTATACGCCCACCCATCACCATGGAACACGAACCCGTATTGGCAAGAGGAGATTGATATCGGGCCCAAGCTCCCGAAGAAGACGGGGAACAAGAACTCGAGCCAGCGCGGCCTCAACAGCGCCGGCACGAGCGCCGGGCGGGACAGCACGTCCGCCAGCTTGACGGCCACCAGCTCCAACCTCGAACACAGCACGACAGGCCGCACCAGTCCCACGATCATACCAGAAGACGACGGCACCAGGATATCGGGCGACGGCTGGAACAAGACGAGATACCAGCGGGAGGACGAGGAGCTCTGGGGCGGCGACCTCAGCAAGATGGGCCACAAGTTGGTGGATAACATCGTCAAGGCCGGAAACTCGGCCGGTCGCATGATCAAGGGCGAGCTCAGCAAGGAGAGGCAGGTCACCGAGGAGGAGCGCCGCGATTTCTACTTTACGCCCAAGAACCCCCCTGTAAACGAGTATCACCCGCCCATCGTCGGCAGCACGCCCGCGCACAAGAACGCGCTTCAGTGGATGCTGCAACCTCCACCAACCGCCAAGCTCATGGAAGGCCGTGTCCCTGTCAGCAGGGCGAAGAGCTCGAGCAGCGTCGCGAGCCGGGGCAGCAGGGCGAGCAAGGCCAGCAGGACGGCGGCGACAGAGGACACCCCCTTGGGCCGCATCGTCAGAGAAAAGGCCCTGCAGGAGAAGCTTCGCAAGCAAGAGACGCCGTCGGAAACGGAACTCATCGACGCGCTCATCGGCTCTCGGTCGAGGCAAACATTGGTCTCCACCAGGGGCAGGAGCATGCGCAGCCGCAGCCTCTCACTAGAATCGGAGATGTACTCAGAGCCATCGACCGACAGCGAGCTCGTCGAGCGGAGAAAACATGCGCGCCGGCAGCCCAACTACCAGGACGCGGACGGGTCGAGCGACGACGAGGACGTGGATGCCTTGAGGCAGAGCCGCGACTCGTTGCGTGCGCGAGGGTCAACGCGGGTGGCGGCACGGCCCAGACTCGGCACCATCCGCAGCTCAGGCACCGGCAACAGCACACCGAGAGCGGCGCTAGCGGCCAAGCCTACGAACACGAGGGCGGAGAGCATCACACCGCGACCCTCTTCGCCGACGGCGCCCGCCAAGGCCTACGTCGTGTCGACGACGATGGGCAAGAACGACGAGAACCAGGCCATCCCCGCTGGATTCTAGGACAACGATTGGGGACTCGCCTCGGCCGAGCGGCCGTTCTCACCTTTTCTCTATGAGATTCCGTTCCCTTTCTTTGTCCTGCATCATTTTCGAGAGCATAGCGTATAGGGGTTGCTGTCTTTTACCTTCTTTTTTTTTCTTTCTTTCTTGCCCAACTTCCCTGACCCATTCGGTCATTTCTACCTGTTATCAAGGCGTCCGAGCCGTAGGGGCGGTTCATACTACTAGCAAGCATATTGGGCGTTCAAAGGGGACAGGGGTCTGCTGTGTTCTTTCGTTCTTCTTCTTCACAACAAAATTGGGGGGGGCAGGGGAGGTGTATGCGCTGGCCAGTTCATCGCCGGTCTTGGTCTTTGATAGTGTCGGCGTTGACTTTGAATTGACCACATCGGACCGCAGTTTTTTTTTTGCCAGTCCAACTCACAGTGAAAAGGGCAGCGGGCAAGCATGGTGATGTACATGTTGAACTCGCTAGTCTTGGCCCAACGCAGGCTTTTCCTGCCGCGCTGAGAGGACTACCAGCTTTCTTTTCCACGGCCTATCCTGGCCTATCCTGGCCTGTCCCTAACGCCTCCCAATGCAGCCTCGGCCTCGTCGCCCGTAGTGTTCGTAGCGTTGCTGTGGGGTTTTAGTCCTGTCGCGCGGCGAATCGAGTAGACGATCAGAGATGCATGCCGCCGTCGTCGTCGTCGTCCAGCTGGCGCATGCGCTCCTCCATGGCGCGCCGGAGCTGCTCGTCATCGAGGCGCCCTCCGCCCGACGGGGCCGTCGTCTGCGTCGTCGCCGCGCGCACGCTGCCGGCATCCGCAGGCGCCGCAGGGGAGGAAGCGGAAGCGGGAGCAGCGGGAGCAGAGGAGGTCGTGGGAGCAGCATGGTCGTCAAAACGCATGACACCCCCCCGAATGGTGCCCGTCTGAAACGTGCCGTCGCTCCACGCCGGATGCCGCGTCCCCGCCGCCATGGCGTCCTCCTCGAGCCTCGCGTCGCGCAGCCCGTTGGTCACGGGCGCAACGCCGTCGTCTTCGTCCTGGTCGTCTTCGTCGTCGTCGTCAGCAGCGGCACCAGCGACGGCGGCGGCGGCGGTCCCCGGCAGGGCAGGCTCGACGGCCTCGAACTCGCGCCAGCTGCACCCCCTGTCCTCGACCTCGGCGCGGATGAGGGCGATGCGCTCGTCCATGCGCAGGATGACGGCCTCGTTCTCGCGGATGGCGTCGGCGCAGTCCGGGTCCGGGGGCGCGCCGGCGGGTTCGGTGCCGAGGGCGTAGGGCAGGAGCTCAATGTTGGAGGTGCGCAGGTGGGCGATGGAGTTGCGGATCTCGAGGACCTTGAGGTGGAGGGTCGGCAGGGAGAGGGGCGGCAGGGCGGCGGCGAAGCGGGCGGGGGAGATGGGGGATGTGTCTGCTGTTGTTGTTGGGCGGGACATGGTGGTGTTGTTCGCGTAGGGGCTGGGGGAGGCGAGATGCTCGCTGTCTGTAGAAAACTTGTTGTCTGCAGAACAAGGAAGTGGACGGGGAGGCAGGGAGTGGAGGCTGTTGTCGGCAGGGACTTGCGAAGGGACCGCCTGCCTGGAGCTCGATGGCGGTTCTCGATGGCGGGGTGCTCCTGTGGGGCTTCACCGAGTGATAAGATAAGATTCACCGGTACCTACCTTCAGGTAAGGCACGGTAAGGCACGGCATCCGCACCGAGCAGAGTGGTTCGACTGGCAGAAATCAAATCATGACGCCGTTGACGCTATCCTCACAGTGACGTATCACGACCACTCCTCCTCCGCCACCACCTGCCGCCGGTCAACACAGTCCACATTGACGACGGCCGCGGCGCCTTGACATGCCGCCTCGCCATTGTGAGCCATGAACGTCCCATTCGCTCTCCTCCAAAGGCCGCTCCTCCAGCTTGGCCTGCGCGCCATCTGCGCCCAGCCATCATCTCGTGCCGCGACACGCCTCCTCTCGACATGCATCACCTCGACGAAGACGACGACGACGACAACCACACACACACGCTGCCTCGACGGCACTGCACATGGGCTGCCGCGCTTTGGCAGCAGAGTGGACACCCAATGGCCCAGTGCGAGGACATATGCGACCACCCGCACCATCGTCATTGATCGCTACGAAGACCTGCCCGACGACTATGTCGACAAGGACGGCCTGCCGTTTCGCACGACCGAGCTGTCGTCGGCCGAGGTGAAGAAGATCTTCGGACCCAGGACCAAGAGCGTCAACGCCAACCGCCTGCTGAGGATACTGCACGGCCGCCGGGTCGCGGGCACCCTGAAAGACCCGGCCTACAGCGGCAACACCTTCTCTTTCACCAAGGACGAGAAGCTCAGGGCCATGGCCTATCTGCGGAAGAGGGTGCCCGTTGACGAGGTTCTCAACGAGGGTCTGCGCGCCGAGGACGAGCTGCGCGAGCTCGAGCAAGAGGCGGCCGGCGAGGTCATGGCAGACGGCGACGGTGCAGCGCCGCCCCAGACGACGCAGCAGCACCCCCGAGACCAACAACCGCAGCCGCTGCGTCGCAAGTCCGACTCGGTATACGGCGACAGCGTCTTCGACAACATCCGCGCCAGGAACATCGCCAAGCGCGAGGAGCGCGAGCGCCTCGAGGCCGAAGAGCGCGCCGAACGCGAGCGCCTGCACCCGGGGCCCCTGGCCAATCTCTCCGACGGCCCAGCGCGCCCGCTCTCGCCGCAGCTGCAAAAGTGGTCCGACGCCGCGACGTCCAACCTCGAGGCGCCCCCCGAGATGACGCACGTGGAGCGCCTGCTGCCGGCGACGACCCTCGTCGTCCTCGTCGTCGCCGCCCTCGCCGGCTTCGCCGCCGTCTACACGCCGCCCGCCCAGCACGACCGCCTCTTCCCCGAGGTCTCGCTGGCGACCGCCACCGTCGCCACCCTCATCGGCCTCAACGCCCTCGTCTTCCTCGCCTGGCGCGTGCCGCCCCTCTGGCGCCTCATGAACCGCTACTTCCTCCTCGTCCACGGCCTGCCGCGCCCGGCCTCGCTCGTCCTCGCCTCCTTCAGCCACAGCACCTTCCTGACCCATTTCCTCCCCAACATGGCCGCCCTCTGGGTCCTCGGCACCCTCCTCCACGACGACGTCGGCCGCGCCCACCTCGTCGCCCTCTACGTCGCCTCGGGCGCCGCCGGCTTCCTCGGCAGCCTCTACTGGCTCACCCTGCGCGGCCACCTCCTGTTCTCGTCCCTCGGCGCCTCGGGCGCCGTCTACGGCCTCGCCGGCGCCTACTTTTGGCTCCACCGCTTCGACCACTTCAAGATCCTCGGCTTCCCGCCGGCGCCCCTCGAGGGGCCCCAGGGCCTTGCCTTCCTCGGCCTCATCGTCGGCGTCCACGTCTTTGCCTTTCTGCGGCCCAAGACGACCATTGACCTCATGTCCCACATGGCCGGCATGGCCGTCGGCATCCTCGGCGCGTCGCTCGCCAGGGGCGCGAAGCAGCACGGTGGCGCCGCCGCCGCCGCCGCCGCTGCTGCTCCTGCTCCTGCTTCTGCCGCGTCGGACATGAAGAGGGTCGATCTCGTCCGGGACGTGCGCGTCACGACGACGTCGGCGGGCGACAAGGGCGGCGGATCTGCGTAGGCCGCGGGCCCGTGGTGGACGAGGACGGACGTGCGTAGACCGGGAGACGTGCATTTTTCTTGTAGAACACTGGGTATATATATAAACGGCGTTGCGTATCTAGCTTTTCTTTTTTTTCTTTTTTTTCTTGCTTTCGCCTGCTGGATCTTTTGGCAGGACCTCCTTTCTATGAAGCCGTTTTGGGAGAACTTCACTTGCATTCAGCGTTCGTGATATCGTGCGCCTGTTCTTCTGTTGTCTGTTCAAACCGATGGGCCCTTGGCCACGCGCCAGCGATCTGATGTTTCTCCTGCGTGCTGTTCTCCTGCGTGCTGGACGGACAGGCCTGGTGGTACATGGAGCGGAGCGCAACGACGTCGGTTACGGAACGGCACGGCCCTGCACATATCTTGGACGAGGTATGCTATGCCGACTTGACGAGCCCATGTATCCCGTACCTTAGCGGGATCCAAGTCTTCACATGCCCCTCTTCATATACCCCAGGTGCTGTTGCTATTCCTCGCCTACCACAAGTTGACATAACAACCTGCTCGAATATGGCTTCTCCACCATACGCAACGGAAAGTCAAAAAGTGGTCAAACAGTAGCAGCACAACATGGACATGGCCTCCCCATGAACAGTGCACGGCCAGGCGGCGATGATCGTTTCTCGAAAGAATCATCATCGGCGATATGCAGCATAGATCAGGCGGTATAGATACCAGCACACATATGCAGGAGGGTGACTGTCAATCTGCATCGAGACCCGACAGACCAGCGAGCCCCCCATGTACCCTTGTTTTCTGATGCCAGATGACCGCCATGTCACCTCGTGCTTTTCAGGACGATCGCCCGACGAGGAAACCACGCTGGTGGGACATGTCCCGGTCCTGGGTCAGCAGCAGCTTGTCCATGTATGCTTAAACGTATCGTGGTGCGCAGCCTTTCAATCAAGCAAGAGATCGGCGCAGCAGCCAGCTTCTTCTCCCAAGACCCAAGTAGCTGGAAACCCAGCACACCATCTTCTCGAGCTGCTCGCAACGAAAGCGAAGAAAGCGTCTTCCATTCGGTCCCGAAGCCATGGATCCGTCTCATGAGCTGCAGCTTCCGCTCAAAGAGTCCTTAGCGTTGTCTTGGTGGCGTGCGCTCAGGGGGGCATCGTCAGTCTCAATGCACACGAGGCTGTCTCCGTCTCTTCACCGTTCCAAACCACATACCTCCCAACATTCCTTGTTGGTGATGTACGTTGTTTGCTCCTCTGCGCCGAGAGCGGGTCCCGGTCCTGCCACGGCTTATCACAAAACCCTGTTAGTCTACCTCCTCAGAGTTCTGCGGGCGACAGAGGCTTTTCCGAGAGTCTGGCCCGCCGAACACACCCGACGACGACGAAGTCGTGGCTGGGAATGGAAGGAGCCCAATGTCGGGGTTGTGGCGGCAGGTCGGGACAGCAAAAGGGGGAAACTCGACAAACTAGACTTCCCGTTGCTCGATTCTTGAGAACGTCGCTAGAGAACGTCGGAACGAGCCTTTCGGCTGGCGGAACGGATCTCTCACGATCAAACTGATCGAGCTGCGCAAGCCACATGGTGCGATTGGAATGCCTCATCCGCTCTGCTGCATACGCAGCCGACAGGGTCAAGTCTCATGGCAGCCCGGACACGCCGAGTGAATCCTGCTTCACCTGTCCCCCAAGGGCCCAGCTTCCGCGCTGGCAGCCCAGGCATCGAAAGATGTGACGGGAGGTGCAGGTCCGCCACAGAGAAGCCACGGGAGCTGAAGCCAAGGGCGTACTATGCAACACAATTGAGGTGCAGATTTTGGTGCTGACGACTGGACCATGGTATCCGGCCGGGCGGCTCTTTATCGATCAATCACAACGTGCCTCGTCACATCAGCAACAACATGGTGGTCTGGACTCGAAGGCTCGCGGAGCCGGGCCCGCCGCTTATTGGGAGGCCCTTCGAGTACGCAGGGTAGTGGATGGACAGTGTTCGTGGGCTGGGCTGGCTGTGCACTGGGATGCACCCCAGGATCAATTTACCGTCAACCAGCTGAGTGAGATTGACGTCGCTGGGGTTTGAGATCATGTTGGCGAGGATGTATCGCGATATGACCGCCGGAGAATCTCGCGAAGATGAACAAGTCGCAGCAGAGTGGAATCTCCCAGTTGGTGAAGTGGGCCTTGGGGCCTCGCCATCGGCGTATCATCTATATTTGTGCTACTAAGCCGCCAGAGGACAGGGGATGGCCTAGCAGGCATGCCTGGCTTGGAAGCCGAAGGACGGGTCACCGCACAACCGTGGACGCCCTGGTGCACAGCGTTGCAACAGGAGTGGCAACCGTAATGCGGTCGCCTGTCTCTCGTGTGCAGGTGCCGGGGGCCTCCAGAGAAAGTTGTACGCGCTGGTGCTTCGACGTGGTGATCGGCGCGACGATCAGGGTGCTTTGTAAGTGCCAAACGCTCAATAGCTTCGAGCTAAATCGACGACGTGGTAATGAGTCGCCGCCCTTTATGTTTGAAGATGGCGATAATCGCACCATGCCGACAGTGACGCTATACAGCAAAGTTTCCTCAGCAAACCTTTCTTGTGCAAGGGTCGTTCCAGATAGATTAGGGGCCGTAGCCCGGTCGCACAACGACGCACAGCACAGCTTCGGGCCCAGGCTGTTGGCTTGCCCTGCGAGCTGCGAGCCACGAGCCAGTTCGTGGCCCCCGCGTGGTGGCAGGGTCCCCCAAAGGACCCCATAGCTCCCGGCCATATGCAGTTAGACTCAGTCGACAGAGCTTGGGACCTGGAGCTAGCGAATGTCAGGAACGGGCACGGCGCCAGAAGGGTGGGTTGGCGCGGCGCGGCATTGGTGGGATGCCGATGTCAGTGGTTGAAAAGGGTGCTGAACACTCAGGGGGTTGTTGTCCTGCTGGAAGCTGAACATGCCAACACCACAAAAAGTCGGGCCACGAACCAAAGGACGAAGTGCAGAAATAAAGAATGAAGCCCAAGAAGCATCGGGATGACCCTTGCTGCTTTGGGAACACGGAGCTGGGTCGGCATCACCAAGACATGCATGGTGTGTCGAACACTGGCTGGTCAGCAGAAGGCTAATAACGTACATACCTTTTGGCCGCACGCCGTCTCGCTCTGCCCGCTCTGCTCGCTGTTGCATCCGAACTGTATTAAACACATGGTCCCCCTTTTTTGAAGCTTTGTTTCAAAGGCAAGGGGCGCTTCATCCCACCCTCCTCCCGCCAGTCACCGTCGTCGTCATCGCCATCCCGACGAGGCTGTCTTGCCCGTCGACTGACTCAATCCTACTTGTTTGACAGTCAAGTGCCAGGACGCCGTCGAAAAGGCAGACCCAGGCGTCCCAAATCGTTGACGATCGTCATTGCCCTATCCCTATTCGACGCCCCTGCTCTGCCCATCTCTCTTCCGTTTGACGCCCCGGTCCCTGACTGCCAGGGCATTGGCCTCTGCGTTGTGGAGTGCAGAACTCTCTGTTCGCCGTGGTGACCGTGAGGAGGCAGAAATACCAAGAGCCGTCAGGAAGGGAAACATGACAGTGTCGGCGCTGTCATCTTTGGGGGTCGTATCACACGGCGACTCGGGGATTCGCGAATCCAGGCGGCACGGGCATGGGAGTCCCCGGTCGAACCGGATCCAAAGGTCGAGTGCAAGCCCAAGTCGCAGCCAAACATGCTCAAAGGGGGATGCAACCGTTGCAGATTCGCATGGCCTCATAAGGCGCCTCGAGACCGATATGCCCGGCAGATCTCGTGTTGACTCGGTCTCTCCGTCCATTCCTGGTGAAGATTTCGCTTCCATGTCTGCTTTCGCTCCGGGGGCGTCGTCGTCGCCGACGGCCACCTTTTTATTTTCCGCAAGGTCGAGTCTGGCGTCGATTTCTGGTCCTGCATCCGAGTTTGTGCCCGAGTCCAAGACGACGTCCTGGTCGCCCTCGGCAATTGCGATCTCAACAGACTTTGGCAGCGACAGCGATAAGATCAGTATCAGCAGCTGCAGCACCAACGCCAGCACCGACACCGGCACGACCATTGGCAACTGCCACGGGCCATTTGGCAGAACCAGCAGGAAAGGGGCAGAAACCACAACAGTCACCACTTCCTCGCCATTTCCTCAGCAACGCTTGCCTTCACCATCCTGGACGATGCCGTCGGCCACAACGGCAGCTACGACTGGCGGCGGCGACGGCGCGATAGTCAAAACCCGAAACAGAATGGAAGCGACGACCGGCGACGGCGTGCAAACGCAATTGCTAGACTGGAACTCCACAACGACTTCCCTTTTCAACCTAGACTCCCAATCGCAACGCTCCCGCCGATCACAGCTCGATCACCATCAACCAATGCTGTCGGCTCGAGCCTGCGAGCCCCAGCTTGTTCCGGGCTTCGACCGCGATCGCGTTCACGATTGGAACCTCAAGACGCATCACGGACCCTGGGCTCACGTATGGCAAGATCTCCCACCGCCGCCTTCGCCGCACTACGACTTGGACAACGAGGCCTGTCGCCGTCCTTCTACCTCCAAGAGCCACCACTTTCACTTCCGATGGCCCAAGCGAAACAGCAGCGCAACGCAAGATGACTTTCTGCCGCTTCCTGCACAAGGGCGCATAAGCTCCGAATCGGCCATGACGATCATCGGCCGTAGAAGCAGCTTCGACAGAGACACTCTCAAGGGCGACATGCAGGGTCATGATCAAGAGGAGCTCCAGAAGGAGCAGCAGCAGCAACAACAACAACAACAACAACAAGAGCGGAACCAGCAGCAGCCCGGCGATATCACGGCGAACATGACGAAGCAGGAGTTCGAGGCTCTCCCTTTGACCATTCAACGCAAGGTACGTTCACTTCTGGGCGTGTCCCGGGTTCCTGTTTACCGTCTCATGTCTCATTCTCGCGTGTCTTTGCTTTTTTCCTTTTCTTTCACCATTTTCCCCTTGTGTTGCTCCCTCCCAATCTTTACATTATGCGCCCAGTCAACTCGACTCGTTCTTCCCCCCACATGGCTCGATTGGGTCCAGCAGCCTGAGCCTACCTAGGTACCTACCTGAGGTACCTTCACACCAGCACTGGTGCCAGCACCAACAGCCTGGCATCCACTAACCCCCCCCCCGTCCTCTTCCCCTTCCCCCCAATGGTGGCCCCCTTCTCCCCTCCTATGGCCCCAAGCCCAAAAGGCGGAAGCGCCCAAATCCCAGCGCAGGCCCCCCCCTGGGCAGCCCCAACTATGCAACGCCTGGCGATGCTTTGGGCGCTCGGGCTTTTGTGATTCGGCCACCCGCGACAGATAATTTCAATCTGCTGAGGTGTGTTCGACTCGGTCATGGCCAAGAGCGTGCATGGATGGGCATGAGCGGTGTTCATCTTGATCATAAGTCTCGCCTGGCTCTGTCCCTTTCTCTCGTTCACATCTCAAGGCTGCGTCCTTCGTCAGACTGGTCCTCCCCCCCCCTCAGGTTACACGGCATCGTCCCTCCCGTCTGTCTTCTTCTCAACCCAATCCACCCGTCGCCGCCTTACACCTGACCGAGTACAACGTTCTGTACACCATCATCCGTCGTCTACGGCACCAGCCCACAACGGTTGCAACCCCCTACTCAAAGCGACCAAGATACGCGCCAGGCGTCACAGCTAGCGTGTTCCCTTGTCCCTCCACCACACCACGACCACATCCACCCATACTCCACGGCAGACGGAAGGGACGGACGGAAAGAAAGACACAGGAGACAAGCTCCAAGCGGCAGGCCTGGTATGCAACTTCCAGTGATCGACCACAAAGCACCCACCCCCAATAATTCCTCATCACGTTCCCTTCCCTCCAATCGTTTGGTGATAGTCCCACCACACACACTCCCACTTCACGCACCTTGCCCGTCTCTGGCCTCTCTGGCTTGCTGCACCCGGCACCACGACCCTGCCAGTCTTCTCGCCCCCTCAACCGCCAAGGCGACATATGTGGGCGTCAGGCACCTTCACCTGCATGAGCGCTGCGGCCTGTTCTCGAGCTACCAGGCTACATCGGCCTGTGGGCGTCCCCCCGTCTCGGTACTGATGTGTCTGACCGATTCGACGACTGGAACTTGGGCCCTCTGATCCGTTGCGCTTGACATGCAGGTCCCGCATACAACATTCTCACACCCCCGTACGCTTCGTTCCTGCATTAAGACATCCCCCCTCTCTTTGCCCACTGGTATTATTGACTGTTGCATTGCCTTGCCCCCTCCCTACGACTTTCGAGACAGCATCTTTGTTCGTTGTACTAAAGCCCTTGGCCCCGCCCGCAGTACTTCTCATCTCTCGAGCGCCTTCGCTTCGCCCAACTGCCACCCACCAACACGAGCCAGCCTTCTTTCGCTGTCGTCAGTGCTCCCACCCGGCACACCGACACCGAAACGAGCACCAGCTTCACTACCACCGACCTTGACAGCGTCACTCTCTCGAGCTTAAAGAAGAGAAGAAGGCGAGCATCGCGCATCGTCTCCGAGCAAGCCGCCAGCCGTCTTACCAGAAGATCTTCGCGCCGCCCCTCCTTTTATGCGACCCTCCCCGACAAGATCAAGCGGCAGCACTTGACAAGCGAGGAGCAGATTGTTGTTGCCAGGTTGCGCAGACACAACATCAAGCTGACCTCGCCCAACGACACGGTGCGCAGGTCCGGCCGCAGAGCATCCAACGTGGCCATCCCGGAGAGCTTGTACAGCCCAACATTGGTCCCGCCCCGCCCCCAGACCATGGAGACTCACGAGTCGCGGCCTTGGATGCCCGAGGCCGTACAGAAGGGTTCGGACTCGTTCTACGACAGTTTTAGGTGGCTCGAGGAAGACGACGAGCTCGATCTCCGCTTGCACCTTGACGACTACCATGCGAACCTGCGACAAGAACTCCCGCCACCAACCAAATCGCGCAGGCCATCCTTCCGTCGGCACCTCTCGATCACCAAGGTCCCCTTCGGACGTTCATCCATCTCCTCCGGCAGACCTGGCACGACGCACGCAACGACACCAACGTCGCCTGCTTACCCTCCAAGCAGTAGTCCCCTGGCGAATCCGACAGTTCACGTGCGGCGCAAGTCCCGAGCGCTCTCCTTGATATCACCCAAGCAGAGTCCCAAGGATGCCACGACTGGATCTGATCCCGCCGCCGCCCACTACCAGGACCCAGAGGCCCGGCAAAAGCTCAAGCTCTACCTCGCATCTCCTCTCAAGTTTGATGAAGCTGTGCAGTACGGGTTCCCCTCAACGGAGGGCGCCGTCAAGGAGATGAAAACGTCCGAAGACGATGTCATTGTGCCAAAGATGCAAGAGAAGCCGCGTACGTTCCTCGCTGATGACAAGTCATCCATCTACAGTGACGAGATGTCAGCCGCGGAAACGGATTCGCCAAAGACGCCCCACGCGTTTGAGAAGCCCGCCGTTCGCCCCCTTCGTGTGCCCATCGACTCGGAAGGGCCCGACAAGCCGGTTGACGAAGGTTCAGTTGGGGCGCCGTCTTCCAGAGAGATGACATTGCGCATGACGTTGACGAGGCCCGATCTCCGCGCCAACGAGGATCAGATCTATGGCTGGCAGCACAAGGGCCCCATGGCCAGCCGCAAGTCAACATCCAATGCGCTCCGGGACGAGTTTGACCCTGTGTCGTGTGCCAGAGAGGGCAACTCGAAGGAAAGCTTCGAACGACAGTTTGCTGCCATGGACCAGTGGCAAGCCCAGGTCAACGATCGCGGTGTCATGAAGCGTTTCTGGCACAAGGTCCGACGGGCTCCATAGCCGACCTGTCATTTTTCACCCACGTCACGACAATTTTCTTTACCAAGCAAGCGTTGTAGCGGTCTTTGCGGCCTGGCGACTCTGAGCCTCCCATCTTTTCCCTTATACCCTGTATCTGTACACAATCTAATTAATTCGCACCTCGGTCCCGCGTCCTGCTCGCTCCCACCCTCACTCTCTTTCTTTCTTTCTCTTTTTTTTTCTTCTCTCATCTCATCAAAGCGGGGGTCGTGTTTTTTTTTCATGCCTGGGAAAAATCGTACTAGCTGGGCGATTGGCGTTGTGAGCGCGACACTACAGCAGCATGGGACAGGCGTTGACTGCATTTGACTCTCGGGCCCGTGAGCATTATTGCTTCTGCTACTCCCCCTCCCCACCTCGTAGAGGTGGGCTGATGAAGAGCGAATTGCAGTGGATCGTCAGCGACATTAAACTTGACCTCGAAGGCAACTCTCTCGTTTTGCCAATACATTACAAATGAAACATGGGGTGATTCCCCTTTCCGAATACAATTTTCTGCCACACGCCGTGATGTGTTACACGCCGTCGCTCAGCTCGCGCACGAGAACGAGGACGGGAACAGGGACAGGGCAGGCACGGCAATGGTGTCGTCCGTGACTCTGGGAATCTCGTGTCGCTCGCGTGCGTCGACCTGCGAAGCGACACTCCTGCTAGTCAACTCGACTAACAAACAGTCCAGGTTGTCTAGCTTCCATGGGCACGACGGACGGGGTGGGGTCTGACGGGCTAAAGGGGGCCCAAGAGTCGATGACCGAGCGCCGTCGTGCTGTGCTCCCCGCGCCGGGGAACCTGGACGATAATTGGCAGCGTTAAGCGGCAGATGCACTCTCTTGCCCTCTGATCACGGCGCATGACGCATGCTGCGAGACGAGTGCAGCGCGAAAGATGCACACTACGCTCGCTTTCCCTCTGTCTCTCTGCCTGCTTGACGGAGAGAGAAAAGAAAAGTTCAACAGCATAAAGACGTTGATGGCTGCCCCCCCCCCCCCCCCCCCCCACGCGCGGGCTGACGTGGTGCTTGGATCAGCGATCGACCCTTTCCGACCCCCGCCCTTTTCTGTTTCGATAGATGCAGTTGCGTGGCGTGCGGCACGTCCCATCATCAGCCCCCGGCGAAGGCGCAACAAACGTCTGCAGCCGACGTGGGGCGCGTCCGCCGTGTCTCGGACGCATGGTCAAAGTGCTGGGATTGCCTTCGTCGTGGCGTTCTCGGAGACTGGTGTGCTCGGATCGCTGGGTGTATTGTGGATCGAACGTAGGTTTTTTTCTTCTCCTTCCTTCTCCTTCTCCAGTGTCTGCCTGCTTGCTTCTTCTCTTGGGATGGTGCTGCCGCCGAGGACCTTACTTTAGAGCGGAGGATGTGCTGGCAGGGACATGGGTCGCTTGGCTGGTTTGATAGAGGTTGTGGGGTTTCTCGACCTGAGGTTGGGTCGGGTCTATGTACTGGGTTGGGGGAGTGAGGGTCGCGGATATGTGGCCGCTTTACATGGGGAGAGATCACGTATCTTATTCACGATTGACCTGGGTCCAAAGGGGGTATCATTGAGTCTGAGGATCCGACAAACAAGACCAGCTGAGTTAGGATCTAAAGTCGTTGTGTGGTCCCATGGACAGAAAAAATGTGGCTCTCTTGCTATCCCCTGGATCCGTACTGATCGATCTGTGCGGTATGCGGTCGATTGATGGAGATTAACGGCTGAGTATAGAAATAGCGTCCCATGTCACGGGTCTTGCAAAGGCACCAAAATACCATGAAAAAACAACGAAGGCGAAGAACAGGGCGAAGGGCGAGGACGGACTGGCTCTCGTTCCACTCCGCCGCCAACGACACGGCTCCAGGACGACGGCACAGGCAGCTCGTCGAGCACGGCCCGCTAGACAAAGTGAATGTGCGGCTCGACGGCCAAGATGCCCTTGGCCTTGAAGGCGACCGAGGCCTCGTCGTCGTCGAGGCTCTTCAGCTGGTGGCGCCCCGGTTGCGTGTGGGGGATATGCAGAAGCGTCGCGAGCGGCTCGACCGTCTGCGTCCACGTGGGCGCCGTCTCGTAGACCTTGGGCGAAGCGGCCCAGGCGCGCTGCTCGTCGAGGGCGAGGATGGCGTGGGGTTCGGCGCGGCGCAGGCCGAGCCTGACGCGCTCGTTGAAGCTCTCGACGAGGAGGGCCGGGATGCAGGCGAGCACGGCGCGGCGCTCGGGGTCGGGGTCGTCGGGGTCGGGGTCGGGGATGCTGGCGACGGGCCAGCGGGCCCACCAGAACATCTCGAGCTCGTTGCGCATGTTGACGGTGTGACCGGCCATGATCCACTCATAGAGGCGGTAGAGGGCAAAGACGGGCGTGTCCTCAAAGACACCCCGCGGGGCGCGGTAGCGGCGCCGGCACAGGCTGTCGCTGTAGGCGGCGCGGCGCGCGAGGATGGCGCGGGGGCTCGGTGGCGGCCAGCACGGGAAGAGGTCATCGCTCACGACGTCGTCGTGCGGAGGCGGCTGCGTCGACGGCGGCGCTCCCGACGGTTCAGGCTCGGCGGTCGCTGCTCGGGGCTGCTGTTTTGTCCTCGACACGAGCTTTTTGAGGAGCCGACCCAGAGCGCCCTGATGGTGGGTCATGTTTCCATTCGCTCTCCCTGTTGCTGTTGTCGAAAGATGGCCAGTGACGAGTGAGGCAAGATAGAGGAGAGAGAGAGGTAGCAACACCTTCTGGTGGCTGCCACGGCGAGGTCCAGGTGTGTGCCGACATCTTTGTACCTGCCTCTGGTAGGTAGGTACCCAGGTATGTCCCTGAGGCCTGAGGTAGGCGCCTGCCACCGAGTGCCTGCCTAGGGACCGACGACAGTAGGCCAAGGTGCCTGCCTGCGGGGTGCTGCCTAAGGCAGGTACCTACCTACACGGGGGGCGCCTACAGGGCCGCCTACAGGGGCGCCTACAGGAGGGGCGCCTATGTGCTCGGCTACATCGTGACAACAATCGCATGCCTGCGCTCCCGGTTCCACAGCCCTCCCACGACGGCAGCATTCACCAACAGCGTACCGCTGGCTTGCTGCCTCTTGCTCATGAGGCCAACGAACAGGCCAGAGACCATCAGCCAGAGGACGGAGACGGCCAACCCAACCAACGCTAGCCATCGTCGCCACGTCCCGGCGGCAACAACCTCGTAGCACGACTGTGCCCTGTCATGGCGCAGCCACTCGATCCCCCGCCCGGCAAGCTCGCGGTCCGGATGGGCGACGACAAAGGCGCCGTCGAGAGGAGCTCCGTGCCCCTGAGCGTCGACTGGCTCAACAACGCCACGGCCAGGATGCCGGGCGTCGTCGAAAACATCGACAGCCTCGTCGAGGCGGCCGTCGCCCAGGACCCCGTGGCGTTCCGGCAGCCAGGGCTCAAGGTCGTCGCCGCGCCCTGGGCGTATGCCTTTATCAAAAAGGTCAGCCGCATCACACAGGGCACCGGCCGCCAGTACGACGCCTCGGACGCTGTCGCGTATCTGCACCAGTTCATCGCCACAAGCAACCGAGGCCGCCCCGTGAAGCTGCCCACGGTCCAAGGCTGGGGCCAGAGGTACAAGGCTCTCTCTCTGTCCGGTGGAGATGCTTCAGCAAATCAACGACCTGTATCACCGGACCTACGGGACCGACGGCATTCTGCTAGCAAGCCGTGGTGCGCGACGCTGATGGGCCGGCTTTGCACGTTTTGTCGTGTACAACACCTTGTCATCGTAGGTAGGGCAACGTAGAGCCGGCCATGATGGTCACAGCACATATTGATACGGCGGTGCCGTGGGCAGTGCGTTTGCTAGTCTTGCTTCCCTCCTTCTTCAATTCTTATTGCACTGAGTGAACAGCCCAGTGATCAGCAAGATGGCGTTGTTGTTGTTGGGGGGGTTTTTTTTTTTTTTTTTTTTTTTTTTTTTTTTTTTTTTGCATCCGTGGATGCAAGTACTTTTCGAACGCGAATTCTCAAACCTCGAGGTGACCTTGAGTTCGCGTTGGAATCGTTTCTGTTTCTGCACTCTGACGAGTAATTTGCATGCAAACACCAATAACGATGCCATCTCCACGCATCCCACATGATGAGGAGCCTAAGGGACATGCGCTTTGGTGCGGCCTGTTGCGGCCAGTCGATTTCTCAGCATCCAAAGTACTTCTTCGATGCATTTCATATAGCGGCGACACCTAGTCGTCACATCTGAACATAGCTACGACGCCAGGCACCACCGATCTCGAAAACTTAAAAAAGCCCGGCCTTTGGCCCACAGCCCAGCGCCGGGACGAGCACCTGCAGCACTCTAGCACCGGCGCGCCCTGAGACGGATGAATTGATGCACGGACTGGCGCTCAAACTGCGTGGTTGCTCGAGGGGCAGACAGGCAGACAGACGCAGACAAAAGGCGCAGACTGGCGTCGCGCACGGATGTGGCTCCCGGCTTCTCGGGACAGGCGAGCATGGACGAGTGGAGATGTCTTCTCGGACGGCGCGGCCACCGGAGGAGGGACGGCGTCTTTCGGGGCGCGATAGACTCGGCTCATTCAGTCCCGAAGAAGGCGTCGGCGGTGGTCTCCGAGCGTACGGTAGGGAGGTAGGTCTTGGAGGGAGGGGCCAAGGGTGTGGGTTCACGAGGCAGAAAGGGGATGGCATCCTGTGATTTCCCATCTCTCTCTCTCACGCGGCGGCATAGGCGTCTGCTGGTCTAGAACATGGTTCGCTTGGCGGGGGTTGGCAGAGGAGGCCCGAGGGTTCTCTCATGCGGCCCGGAGGCTTTCCGCGAAGAGAGAGCAAGCAGGGTCAGTCAGGTGGGACTTCTGCTGTCGTTGCGTTCGATGTGACGCATGAAGCAGTGGTGGGAGGAGATGCACAGGACAGGTTGCCTGCTTTTGTCATGAGGCTCGAAGCAGCAGTGCATATCCACCACAAAACACCAGGAGCATGCTCCCCCCCGTCAGCACGGATGGGTCTGATCGGCAAAAGCAACGTCGTGGCACGGGCCTTATGTTGGTATGGCCCTCGGCCGAGAAATAAGATGACCACGGCATGACCACGAGACGACCACGAGGCCGAACGGCAGAGGGTGCTTTGCTGTCCCCCCCGGGGATCTGGACGACTCTCCGTCCGGACTCGTCCCATCACCGGCAAGCCCAAACTTGGTACCGAGCATGTCGTCTCTGCGGTTGCGTGAGGGGCCGGCTTGTCGCTCCTTGCCTGTTGAAGAGCATCGTCCGCATCTCGACTGTGGGCGACGGCCACGGCATCCCTCGGCAGACAAGAGTCATGTTGGTCGAGTCAAAAGAAAGCAGCGCAACAAGTGATCCCGGGCGACAAGGACCGGCGCAAAGATATCAGATCTCAGGACATGGCGTTTGCGCGCACAGCCCCGGGGGTCGGGGGTTCGGGGTCCGGCCCCTGCAGTGAAGGGCGCCGATGCGGTCAAGGGGTACATGTGCATCATGCAGACGGGGGAAGGCTGCTCCTGACGTGTGAACGTGTGACAAATACAAGGCTTGAGGCTTTCGCTAGTTCTGGACGGTGTACATGCGAGACGGAAGAGTGAGGGGATTCGGGGCCCGGTTCGAAGCCGGCAGTCTCGGTGCTGTGAAGTCGATGATCCTTGCCCATCGGCCTGGCGACCCATGCTCTCTGGGGTCTCGTTTGATAGCACATTGTGTTCTCCTGGACGAACGTTCCCCTTGGACGAATGGTTGCCAAAGTCAATACCAAGAGGGGCTGTGCGAATATTGAAAGCGCCCCCTTCGGTTGCAATCTGCCAGACGCCTGTCGAGTACACGCAACGCGGACTCACGGCACACGAGAACGAACGTGTGAAATTGATTCATGCTATGGACGCGACTACACTTTTTATGATACTACGAACATGCCTCGCGTATCCCGGACCCCCCCAAGCCATCGAGGCCGCCTCCGTCCCCAGATCCAAGCGCCGACGCTCGACCTAGTCAAACACGCGCTTCGCGGCGCAGAACAAGCGCAAAAGGGGAATGGGGATCGGCGGACACTCGCCGTCGAGGCTGGCGTCGGGATCGAGGTTCCAGATGGCGCAGTTGTTCTCGACGTAGCCGCCGATGCGCAGCAGCGAGGCGCTGTAGGGCTTGCAGCCGACGACCTCGTTGAGGATGTCCTTGCACTCCTGGGCGCGGATCGTGAACTCGCAGTTGTTCTTGCCCGTGACGCCGACGTGCAGCATCGACCACCAGGACCCGGACTTGGCGATGGCGAACTCCTGGTTGCTGTGGATGCGCGTGCCGTCGGCGTAGTCGCAGAACTTGTTGAGCGCGTCCTGCAGCTCGTGCCCGAACACCTGCCGCCCGCTGCCCCAGCACGTCGCCTTGTTGGTGCCCGGCTGCGGCGGCTTCGGCTTGGGCGGGTCCGTCGGCTTGGGCACCGGGTTGCTCGTCGACACGGGCGTCGTGGCCGTCGTCGTGCGCGTCGTCTTGGGCGGCACGGGGATCGTCGTCGTCTTGGGCGTTCCCGTGCCGGCGCCCGGCCCGCTGCTGCTGCCGCCGCCGCCGCCGTTGTTCCCGCTGCCGCCGTTTTTCCACGGGTAGCTGTCCGTGTCCGGATCGTAGTTTTCCGGGTCAAAGGGGTTGTACCCCGGAAGGCCCGAGTCGTAGTCGTCCGAGATGTACGGGATAAAGGGGCACACCGGGTTGTCGCGCGTCTCGTCATCCTCCTGCTGCTCCTGCTCCTCCGAAGGCTTGTTGCCGGGCGTCGTGGGCCCCGGCTTGCCGCCGGGGGGCACGGGAATGATGGTGACCTTGGGGATCGGAGGGGGAAACGGCTTGAGGTCGGGCGGGCAGAGACCGAACTTGACCTTGATGTTGACGACGGGGATCGTGTAGCTGATGCAGAGAGGCTTGGGCGCCGGGACGGGAGCAACAATGACGGTCGGCTGCGAGCCGCTCTCCGTCTTGACCGTCGTCTTGGAGATGTGCACCTTTTCTGTCGTCTGCTTCTCGACCGTGAACGTGATGGTCTGGCTGCTGACCACCGTCGTCAGCGGCGGTGGGATCCAGGTGGTCGTCGTGGCCGACGGCGGGTAGACGATGGTGCAGGGGTACCGGCAGCTGACAGTGTGCTCGCCCTCCCAGAAGTCGGCAGGCAGGTAGAGGGCGCCGCTGTCGTCGTCGTCCTGGTTTTCCTCGGGTGTGTACTTGTCACTGAAAGGGAGGCCTGCCGGCACGATGAGCGGGAAGGTGAAGACTGTGCCCGCTGGGACCTCGACTTCCTGCGTCAAGGGAACGCCGGCCTGCCACTCTTTGCCGGCCGTGTCGACGATGGGCTGGTTGGGAACAAAGCCGGGCGGGAGGAGGAAAGGCCTCGGGATCGGAACGCCGGCGGGAACATTGATGGGGTTGCCCAAGCTGCCTCCCGTGCCGCAGCACGTCGAGGATATGGCGCGGGCCAGATCGCAGGTCTATGTCACTCAGTGTCAGCGGTTGATCTCCTTTTCCCAGCGGCGTGGGATCTCCAGATGACAGGGGGCTCCAACGTACGTTGCACTTTGACGCTCCAGGACCCTTGGGCTGGTTCTGGTTGCCATCTTTGGGCAGCGAAACGACGTTGCTCGCCACGGGACGGTCGATCGTCAGCGTGGCGCCCTTGGGCACCGTCGTCGCCGACAGCGGAATGACAGTCGCCGAGATGGGCGAGCGGTAGATGACACCCTTGCTCGCGCTCCCGCCCGTGGCGCTGCCCAGCCAGGCCATGACGACGTCGCAGTAGTTGATCTTGTTGTCTTTGCCGAGGACGGCCACTCCGCCCACGGGGCTGATCATCTCGATCGTCGCCTTGGTGATGAGGCTGTAAATCCAGATATCGCTGCTCGTCTCGATGGACACCATGCGCCTCTGGCAGTCCTCCGTGCCGACGCACGCCTGGTCGTAGTTGTCGAACCACGAGTACAGACCGGCGCCGTAGATGTAAATCTTCTCACTGTTGACGATCCTGACGCCCCAGGACACGGCGCACTTGCGCTCGCCTGGCTTGCAGAAGTCAAAGGTGGGATCGGACGCCTTGTAGATGGCCGGCGCCGTGCCGAACGGCGCCGGTGCTCGAGGCGTGTCTTGGAAGTAGGGCGACTCCGTCTGGATCATGCCCATGAAGATGTTGGACGCATCGATCGTCTGGTACTGGTAGAGGACGCAATGCTCGCTCGCCGTGCCGTACAGCCAGACGGGGTTGGTGCTCTCGATGAGCACACCTGCGGAGGATCGTCAGCATAGGCTACGTGGGTACAGGATGTTTGTCAAGAACTCTCTCTCACCTCGAGCAACAAAAATATCGATCTGTGTTTGAGCCGGGATATCGAGGTCCTACCAAATGATCAGTCTTCCTGTCTGTTCGCCATCGAGTGTAGAATGAACTCACGTGGTCAGCCACCCAGAACCAGGTGTTTTCAAAATAGGCAGACGACTGCGGCGTCAGGTGCACCAGCATCGCAGCCGCGATACAGTTCGGGTTGACGGCGCCCGTCAGCTTCGGGCAGTTCTTGACCTGGAGGTCCGACCCGGCAGCACCGCCGACGCGGACGTGAACGTCCCACATGGCGGCGGAGCCCTTGGACGACTCCTTGATGTTCCACTGCAAGACAATGGCGCCGGCCGTCTTGCCTCGCACCGTGAGCATGAGGTCCTGGAGCTCGACGGTGCCGGACTGGCCGGGGTTGCCGACCTTGACGACGGGGTACGGTGCGTTTGCGTTCTGAAACTTGGTGCCTTGGCCCATGATCTGAGACCAGGACTGGCCGACAACCTTGGCGCCGGGGGGCACAAAGACCGTGTCCGTCACGATGTAGACGCCTGCCGGCAGCCACAGGATCTTCCCGGCCGACGCCGTGGCCGACAGCGCCGAGTTCAGGGCGGCCGTGTCGTCCGTCTTGCCGTCGCCCTTGGCGTTGTAGGGCGCGAGCTTGATGTTGACAAAGTCACTGGCAGGCCTCGACTCATACTGGGGCTTGGAGCGGTCGAAGAACCCGGACGTCTGGCTGCTGGGGTTCTTGAGAAGGCCGCCCGAGATGACGGGCGCGCGAGGGTACGCGCCCGACTGCTGGACGCCCGACGCCTCGCCGTTCTGCGTGTCGTACCGCTTGCCGACGCCCCAGGCGGCCACGGTGCTGGTGCCCGTCGAGCCGGCGAGCAGCGTGGCGCCGTCGACGTACTTGACGATGGCGGGCACGTTGCTCGTGGTGACGGAGAAGAGAGACAGCGAGATGGCGGCCTTGGCGGCCGGCTTCTGCAGCTGGAGACCCACGGGGCAGTTTGTGATCTTGCTGTCGATGAAGATGGCCGAGCCGACCTTTGTTGTCGCGTCGGGCGACACCATGACGATGCCGACGGGGCAGTTGGAGATTTCGACGCCCTTCCACGTCCAGCCCCAGTCCCAGTGGATCTCGATGGCCTTGGACAGGTGGTTGGAGAACTTGAGGTTGCGCACGGAGAACTGCTGGTTGCCGACGTACATGCCGAGGGCGCCGCCGACAAACTCCAGATCGCTCATGAAGCCACCGCTGCCGTTCTCCATGAACATGCCCTGCTGGTTGTTACCAGCGACGGTGGACATGACGAACTTGATGTTCTGGAGGGATGTGGCCTGGGCGACTTGCCTAAGAAGTCTACATGTTAGTACAACAGCCTCATTTAAATCTCACGAACTATGTGCTGTGCAAGACGTACCAATGGATGGCGGCAACATATGCTTGGAGAGGGGCGGATGTCATATCCAGCACAAAGTTTCTCACTTGGCGAAGGAAATTGCTCTGCAGAACCATGGGAATTAGCAACATGAGGCCCAAAACGGTGTACAGTAAGTGTCAACACGTCAACGCACCTGGTTGATGTACCACTGGGCTCCCTCTCCGCCCTCAACATAGACATCAGAAGAGATCATGCCAAGACCAACAAAGGCCGGCGACGCCTTCAGCACGGGGCGATTCGTCGGCTAATTCACAGGTCAGCCAAACGTTCGTCCACCCAGAGGAACACCCCGGTATCGGGAGCCCACTTACATGTCCGATGAACTGCGTGTGATAGTACTGAATGATACTTCCACTGATAATGTACGTGCCCGGAGGAAAGTACACCACAGCCTGCAGCGTCGTAGTGCTGCCGCAGTCAAGGCCGCACCGGTTCTGGTCCGAGACGGCCTTGTTGATGGCGGCCGTGTCATCCGTCACGCCGTCTCCCTTGGCGCCGTAGTCCTTGACGTTGCGCCACACCTTGTACCCCGACGGCGCAAAGGGCGACAGGCCATTCTGCGTCATGCCCTCGAGCCACCAGGTGCCCGACTGACGGGCCTGCAGCGGGCCGTCCGACGCAGCAGACTCGTCGTCGACGCTGAGCGTGCCGTTTTGGATCATGACCTCGGTCAGCACGGCCGCCGCCTCGGCCACCGTCTCGTTGACGCCCGTGGCGTTGTCGTCGCCGCTGGGCGACAGGAGGCCCTTGGACGGCGTGGGCGAGTGGAACTCGTAGCGGTTGCGTCGCACATTGGCCACGAGCCGGGCGTTGCGCTCCGCGGCCTCGGCCTGCGCCGCGAGGACGATCTGCTCCGCTTCGCTGATCGTGGCGTTGGCGGTGGTGGTGGAGTTTCGAAGCTGACGCGGGACGAGGCGAGGTCTCGCTGCGGCATGGGCTTGCTCGCCTGGCACGACGTTGTCTGTCTCGAAGAGGCTGCCCCTCAGAGACACGACGCCGTCTGGCGAGCGGCGAACCGGTGCGTCCCCATGCTCTTGGTGTAGCTTTCCGGCCTGGGATTGCACGGCAGCCAACGAGAGGAGGAGGAGCAGGAGGCTCAAGATGGAGGAGAAGGGATACCGGCGGGCCATGTTGTGTGAGGTGGAACTGCCGCCGTTGCGACCTCAAAATGGATTGAAAAGAGTTCAGCAGACGGGAGAGACTTGTATCGAGTAAAATAAATGAATAAGGGGATGGCCCTCCAAGTTGTGTTGGGGCACCTGGATCAAGGAAAGCAGACTGCTGTTCTGCCCATCAGAACTGAAGAGATAGAATGTTGGGAACCTCCGAGAAGGAGAGGCTTGGACTGGGCGAAGGAAAACTATCACTGCTTCATGTCGAATCCGAGAATCAGATATTGTACCCAGGACTCGGTCTGTTGTCCGAGGTAGTGCTCCGCGGACAGACAGGAGGAAGGCTGCGGCGCTTCGCAGAATTCGGCAGGGTTCGTAGAAGACCTCGTCGGCATCAGCTGATAGACCGAAAGGCCGGTCTAGACAACGATACTTTTGAGATACATGGAGGAACATCGAGCACCCCGCGGTTGAAGGATCATGTTCCGTGTCCGCTGTGCAGCCCTGGCTCCATGAGGCTGTATATGTCTCGGTTGTTCGACGCGCCCAGCTAGCTGACACTGCATTCTGAGCCCGGTGCCGTGCAGAACGGCAGGGGCTCTGAAGCTGCAGTTCTCCTCGGTCATTGCATGCTGCATCTCAGAGCTCGGATCAGAGGGTGTGCCCCCCAAAAGAAGCGCGCCTTTGACCAGCGAGGCGGTTCACGACGTGACCAAACGTGTCGAGTGGCCGACGCTACCATATGCGTATATCCCATGGAATCCCCACCAATGGCGCCTACTGCTCTCTACCCCACGCCGATATTCCACGCAGGGGGTCGGGGTAATCTGGCCCTGTAAGGCCGAAGGCCTGGCTCAAGTGAGGTATTTCGCGCTGACGAGAGCAGTTTCTTCTCCCGTGCGGCACAGTTCCTCGGATCTATAGCTCGAGCTCGGAAAGGCAGGTGGCATGAGACGGCTGCAGCCGACCATGACATCGTGGCCGTCGGAGCCCTGGTCTGTGTGAACGGCGCTGCCTTAGTCCAGGACCCTTAATCCTTACCCCTTGGACCCTGGACCCCTGGACCCCTGGACCCTTGAGTCGGCTCACTAGCGATCCATGCTAGTCTGCCCGTCGTGCCGCATCCCCGTGAGGAAACGAGATCAACGCTGATTCTAGCTCACTCCATCTCCCTACCGAGCTCTGAACGACTGGCACGAGCACGTGAAGGCTCCACGTCCAGGGCTGACAGGACGCCAGCTGGTCACTCTACGAGCACGAAGCACAATTCCCATGTTTTTGGCCGGGCGAATCCCAGAAGCCCATCGGTTGTAGTAGTGTAATTCATTCGATCTAGTGCGAGAACAAACAAACTAGAGCCGTTCATGTTTGTTGGCTGCAGAACCCATGATCCATCCAGGAACAAAGTACAGTCCAAAAACAACAAGAATATGAGCCATAACAGGGAGCACCGTCTGCTCGCACTCGGGATTCCAAGTCTTTGATTGCTTCAGGGGTTCACAGGCGCCGGGTCATCGGGGTAAGTCGGCTGGCAATCGCTTCCACTTGATGGCTTCGGCCCAAAGCAGTAGCGCTTCTTCCCACGGACCTCGACCCATACAGCATCGCCGACCGTGGCGCCCTGGTTGCTGTCTGCCAGATAGTCAAACTTGAATATCGTGTAATCCGGCTTGGGCGAAAAGGGCGTTAATTTGCCCTGTGCCATGGCAGTGAACCAGCGGCCAAGTGCGTTGTGGCCGTCGCCTTGCCAGTCCTGCTCTGTTGCAGTGGACGCCGAGGCAGCGCAGCCCGCAGAGATCGGTGCACCTTTCTCTTGTCAGCCTTTCTAGTATGGGTTTTCACGCATGTGCAGCTCGAATGAAAATGAGAAGAGAGGTGCTTCACGTACAGTATGTGCTGGCTCCGTTGCCTCCTTCAATCCAGCTTGCCGCTGGAAACTCATCGCAGGACAGAATGGCTCCGTATGGGGTAGACTGGGTCTCGACTCTGTAACCCAGTGGTTCATTAGTATCGGCCACTCGAACTTCCTCCACTTTGGCAAGTCGGTTTCTGTGCTGAACCCCATCCTCGACGTGCATCTGTGCTTTCACAAATGGGTTGATCTGCCCACCGCTCTTCCAGGTCCAGTCAGGCTGATCACCCTCAGGGCACCTGCCGTTATTGATCCAGCTGGTAGGGCAGCTCTCATCGCGACGCGCATCCACACGCGACTTCTTTGCGTTGCGACCAGCATCGCGCTTTTTCTGCACACGGAAGGCGTCGAAGTGGAACTGTGACGTTGTTCCGCCTCCCAGATAGTTTCTGGCATTCTTGCAAAGAGCAGGCACAAGGTTACAGTTGTACACTAGTTTCGGTCGGAGGGTGCCATAGTCGCGCACTACAACCAGCGTTAGTATACTGTATTGCCATGTTGACGTCCCATCACCAACTAGAAGGAGTTCCAAAAGTCTGCACTAGAGAACTTACCATTGTAGACGTAGTCCTTTGTGCCTCCCTCAGTCTGTCTCGCCGAGTAGGTCGTACCTGAGACAGATCTGGGGCCTGGCCAGCCTTGTGCCATGACGACGGCAGCCCAGCAAAGGAGCAGCGACGACCAAAGCAACATGATGAATCCGACGGGAATCTGATGGGCAAAAGAGACGATTCGTACGTTGGACGATGAAGTGATGGAGAGCGAAGGGGAAGACGAGAGGGTCTGCAGCCGCTCTTGTCAACCTCGGTGACGGAGGTCAGACCAAGGGGCGAGCCATAGATCTATCAGAGAAGAGCAGCCCTGCGTTGCCGAGGTGCCTGCGGTTGTATGGGGCCGTCTCCTGTGCTTGGCCATGATGACGGACGCTCTTGTGCTGCGCAGTCTTTCCTGCGAGAGCTGTGAGACGCCTGGGGTAGCGGGCCGCCCTTGTGACAAGACTTCTTGCAAAGATTGTGACCGGGATGGTTAGACCGAGGGCGCATAGGGTCGAGGTCAAGTCTTCTGTGGCCCCTAATCCCTGCTCGTCAAGCAATGTAAGCTTTGCGGAGCTGGTCGATGCACGTTGCAGCCCCCACGTCGTGCCGTGCCGGGAACAGGGGTTAAGGGAGGGGACATGAGCTGATGAAAGAGGAACCCTTGGGTGGTGCAGGTACAAGGTAGTGATGTACATGTAGACCAAACGAATAGGCTAATCTGATGTAGGCAGGATCCTAAATCCGCTCAAGAAAACCGAAGCCGTAATTCTCCCGCCCGTCATCGCCCTCGGGGAAAGCTTCTGCTCCGGCGACGAACTCGTGAATCGGCGCACTGGCCCAATACGTATCCATGTTCGTGAATCTTCTGCTCCAGTACACGTCGAAAATGTAGCTGAAAAACTTACAACCGAGCCCGGGGCCAGGATCCTGCTCACTACGGTCCGAGGGAAGGGGCATCCAGGCCAGTCGTTCTTGCACATTCCACGAGTACGGCTGCAGCGGACCGTCAAGTACGTGCACAGAGGTCGTGGGGTTGGTGCTGCGATCTCCTGCGTTCGATGGAGTCACAGGGGTCGCGATGAGTACTGTGTGTTCTGTGTCCTTGACTCGAGCAGGCATGGTCAACTCGGTAAGCTGAAAGGTGCCGAACAGAACGACCGAGGTCATCCGTACCTGAGAGGGCTCCAGATGCTTCATCCATTCCGAGTGCGGCGAATGATGATTGGTGCCCCTGACCCAGTCGAGTCGGATCTGCGAGAGCTCATGAGCTGTCCACATGCGCATAAGCTCCCAGAGGGGGAAAACGTCCTGGTCGGTCAAGGGACCGTCACGTCCTTCGCCATCGTCGTCCTCTTCCTCCTCCTCTTCCTCGGATCTCTCTGCCAGGTAGGCTGGCCTCTTCCAGTAAGGGATGAAACCTCGACTAGACGCTTCTGCCCTCGCAGTCTTTACGAGCCAGCTAGAAAGGGGCCCAAAGGCTTCTGCGTTCTTGTCGCCCAGAAGCTCGTGATTATAGACAGCAAAGGTGCCGAGATAGTCATTGTCCCGTTCCCGGGACTCGCGAGTCGAGGGCTCTGAAAAGTACCTCTCGCCCTGCTCAAGGGATCGAAAGAAGGGCTCATGGTAGGCATGTGCAAGAACTGCGCCGGCGAGGAAGAGCCTGTAGGTGGCCCGCCGGAAGTTAACTTTCCATTGGGAGAGTAGGCGAGCGTGTTCGGCTTCGTCGTCGCCGGGACCCGTTATGCTGGAGTTGGGTGGATCTGGATGCACAAGACCGGTCCACTTGGACTGTCCAAAAATCATCTTGTCAGAGTAGAAGAACATGTGCTCGAGGCATGCGGCCACATGCTGCATCTGCAGGACCTGGATGAGCTCGGCATGACTGGGCTTGCGCGAGGCGCCAGTGAGTTTGCCGACGGAAGTGATGCGAGGCGGCAGCTCACCAGCCTCAAAGGCGGGTCTGACGAGGTTCGTCGCGCGGACCTGTGGGAGAGGAATATAGCCTGTCAGCGTGTATTATGAGAAGGTAGGGGTAAGATGGGGGCGGGGTGAGCGAGAGAGCAAGACAGGCCATGTGCTCGGTGGCACTTCAGGCGTCGTGAGCCTGGAACACAGGGTGCCGACTCCTCCGCGGAATCCGACTCACCGCCATCAAGGCCTCCTCAAAGGCAGTAATGTCCCTCCGCCCTGTCGACCAGATGAGTGGCGGGGCGGCCTTCTTCCACAGGACATGCAGCTGCCTGCACGTGGAAGCGAGAGCCAGCATGTCAGCGAGTCCATCGCAGAGGGAAATGATCTGGACTGTGATTTCGGCCGGACATGACAGCAGACCCTGCACCATGGTTGCTGGTAGCATGAAGCGAGTAAGATGTCTGCGAGGTGGGGGCGGGGTGGTAATGAGAGGAAGGGTGTAGGTGCGAGAGGGAAGACGAAGCGGAAGAGACCAAGGTGGGGGGAAAGAGTTGTAGAGTTGGGCAGTTTCGGCGGCGTCGAACAGTGTTCTCGTGACAGCGTGAAATGAGAAAATAGGTCGTCCAAATAGGCAGCTGGAACGAATGATCTGGTTGATGGACGGCTCGATGCAGATGATGGATGATGTTTGATGACTGGAGCCTGCAGTTCATACCAGGGAGGTGGAAGCTTCGCGGTATGTAGAGGGGCAAGGCAAGGGGCGAGGCTGGCCAGACCAGATCGGATCCGACTGCCCACCTGTTCATCATCAGGGGTCGTCGCTTAACAGCCAACCGTCAGCCACGAGCCCCCAAGCCGCCTTCCCCTTGCAGGCCTTCCCCTGGCACTAAGGGCAGGCACCCGAACACCCTGGTCGACTGACAGCTTCCCCGGACGCTGCCAAGTGGGGATCGAGACCCCTAAGCTTTTTAGCTCAGCACTGCACTTCCAAGGACCCCTCGCCAGAGTTCGCAGGGCCTAGACCAGGATCGGGCCGGACACCGATGTCCGAGGCGGCCGCTGACCCTCTGCTCGCTTCCCTGCCTGCATAGGGACTTTGCCGAACTACCTCGCCCAAGGTAGCCAGGCATTTTGACCTTGCAGGATCAAGCTTAACGCTACCTAGCCTTGCCTCATCTCCCACTTATCCATACGCGGAAAGCTGATCCGGGAGGTGGCCGCCGATTCTTCAGCGCAACGTGCAGATAGGATGCATGGTGCGTGGCACGGCCTACCCTCCCTGATGCATGCGGCGAGACGCGCTAGCATGCCCTGGAAAGTGCCTCTTACTCATCATGCACTTTCCTGATTGCCATGCGCCTTCCAGCGCACACATCCCTACCTACCGCTGGAAACCCCGAGACTTCACAGGTACAGCCGTGTACCTTTCTTCCCAGGCCGTGTTCTTCGCGCGCAATGCTACATACTCTGCCTCGGCATCGCGGTGCTCCGCAGCCAGGCGAGAGGGAGACGGAAAAAACAAGAATGATGGACCAGCTGGATCGAACGGGCTCTCGGGCCAGAGCCAGAAGCTCGCCCTGACCGCATCCCCCTCTTCCTCTTCTTTGCCGTCCTCTTCGTCTGCCCTCTCTCCGGGACTGTTCTTGTGGCTTCATACTTCATACCAAGTCCACATACCTACTTGGCAAGTCATCGTGTCATATAGTCGGTCACCTGCACGACGCGTTGCAACTCCCAACCGAGGTGCTCCAGTCATTGCCGCATCTTTCGTCAAGAGTCGAGCCAGACCGGACTCGCCATCATGAAACCTCTTCACTCAGGCGGCGCCGTCCTGCTGACGGCCATTGCCTCTTACGCTGCTGTCTCGCACGCCGCGCCATCTGAATATGGAGGCAAATATTTCTCGGGAGACCTCGTCGAGGCCTCGCCCTTCCAGCTGGTCGAGCGGGCCTTTGAACTCGGCAGCTGTCGTGCCTGGTCAAAATCGAACGCCTGGGATACCTGCCAGGACTACCTCAAGCGATACAGCTTGACCATGGCCCAGTTCTACAAGCTGAACCCGACTGTTCAGTCTGACTGCTACGCGTTCGTGCCTGGAGAGACCTACTGCCGCAGGACGAGTACGGACCGAGTCCCCATTCCCTCCCTCTCCATGCTGCTCTTCAAACGCTGGTGCAGTCACGTCCGAACATGGCGGAGCTGACCTTGACATGGTACAGATGCCGAGATCCCCGTGTCCAAGGACGGTGGGTGCGGACTGCGCACAGGGAACAACGTCACCTGCATCAACTCTGAATTTGGAGACTGTTGTGGTGCTGATAACCGGTGAGTAGCCTCGTTTGGATGGCTGTTTTCCTTCCCAAGCGTCTGATACTATGTGCTGACCATACTTCCCCCAGTTGCGGCTCTACAGAGTATGTCTCCCCAAGCCCCGAACACCCAGCTTCGGGGTGAAACGAGCTAATCGTGAACGTCGTTAGCGCTTCCTGTGCCATCGGAAACTGTCAGGAAGGAAACTGCCCAGGTCTTGGTTACAGTTTCAACGGGTCTTGCGGTAAAGACTTTGGCTTTCTGGAGTGCGGCGGGAAATGGGGCAAGTGCTGCTCCAACGCAGGAAAGTCTGTTTACCCCTTGCCTGAGAATGGCAAAAGTCGTGCAAGATCTCCAAAGACTGACAACTCGTTTATTATCTCAGGTGCGGCAGCACTGCAGCCGAGTGTGGTGCCGGCAAATGCCAGTCCGGCGCATGCGATGGTTCAGCAGTAACGACATCAAAAGCACCAGTCACCACCGCCACTGCGACGTATGATAAGCCTCTCGCAGACGACCTTGTGGTTCATGGAAACGCTGACAATCTTATGTAATAGGTCTACAAAGCCCGCACCCACGCCATTCACCCCCAGCCCTGACGGAACATGCGGCTACGACAACAAGTACAAGTGCACCGACACAAAGTACAACTATGGCAACTGCTGCGGCGCTGCGGGCTACTGTGGTCTCTCGGACTGGGAGTGCAGCAACCTCCAAGGCTGGTATGCTGAGAATGGGCCCTGATCCAGAAGGAGGTTCGATCTTGCTGACTCGTCTCTACTCACAATATAGTCAGTCTGAGTACGGTTTTTGCGATACAACGGTTCTCGTCAGCGGTGCCCCCAAGACTACGTCCACGTCTCCCGTCACCACGACGCAACCAACGACGACAAGCACTTCCAAGCCCGTAGCCGTCCAGAAGTCTGGCTCCTACGAGCTGGTAGGTTGCTGGAACAGGCCTCCTAACGCTCGTGCCCTCAGCATTTCCTATACGGATGACTTGATGACGGTCGAAAAGTGCCTCGCCAAGGCCGCGGGTTACGCATACGCCGGTGTCGAATTCGGCAAGGAGTGCTGGTACAGCAACACCATCGACGGCGGTTACTCTGTCGACCTCTCCGCGTGCAACATGCCCTGCCCCGGAGCCCCCGACAAGCAGCTCTGCGGTGCCGGTAACCGCATGCTCATGTACAAACTACCCGGAAACACGGTGCCTCAGCCCACCCAGCCGGCTCAGATAGTCGTGGGCACCAGGGTCGCTTTCCGCTGGTACTATGTCGAGTGCCGCACCGATGGCAGCGCAAGCCGATCATTGACGGGCGCCCAATACTCACAGGCCAACATGACGTTGCACGAATGTGCTAACCTCTGCCTTGGCTTTGACTACTTTGGAGCCGAGTTTGGGAAAGAATGTAAGTCACTGAAGAAGCCTCGTTACCACCGCTCCCTCTATCGTCCTCTCCTCGCGCCTTTCATCCAATATTCTTCTGTCTGCCTTGGTGGTTCATCAACGACCCCAATATTTCATCATCTGACCTGTTGTGCAGGTTACTGCGGAGACACTTTCGCTGCTGGATCCACCGTGTCAGCGAACGACTGCACCTTGACCTGCGTTGGGAATCGGGATCAGTACTGTGGTGCAGGCAACAGAATGTCGGTATACCAGAACAGATAATAAAGCAAGACAAGGCTCGATACCAGGGCTTTGCTGCAAAATATTGAGAAAGCTACGAAGGAAGGTAGCCAGAGCCTACAAGACTTGAACAAGGAGAGGGACTGGAGTACTGAAGTATATACATCATTGAGCCTGAACAACTGTCACACACAGAGACCCGGTCTCCTGCCTTCGCTTTCAGCCGTCGCTCGTAGTCGGAAAACGCATTGCATTCGAATAAAATTCCGTGACATCATTGACTGCCTGCAAACAAGGCTGGGGGGCAAATGACTCGGCCATATACGTGGTAGACTACTCAATGTTCATGGACTGGACGCACTGAGCATTTTCAGGGGATCTCGGAAATGTACGTACCTGGAGCACATCGAGTCACGTGATCTCGCGTTCATGTCCTGCAACGTCTTCCTCCAGGACACGAAATTTTGTGAGCGATTGTCGCGCTGAAGAGAGATCCACCCGCACTCATTCAGTCAGCGCAACAGTCCGATAACTTCATGGCCAGAATGTTGCAGCAGATACGACGGCCCTATATCTGCCGCAGATGTGTCTCCGCTTGCGCGGAAGCTGTATCTCCCACAAGCGGATGCTCTAGAACCCAACCCTCAGCTGCTTCCGCTTCATTGCTGGCTCGCCCGGCAGCTCAGCGAGTGAGTGTTGCACCATTCTCATGACTTCTTCTGCGAATGCTTATTACTTGCCAGACTCTTGCGACCGTTACGCAGTCTGTGAACGATGCAGAGGGCTTCGATAACCTGTCCACGAGTCTTGCCGAGCATGATCAGCCTAGAATCAGCGTTCGCGACAGGCTTCGTGTATGGGAACAGGAGAACCAGGCATCCGCTCACAGACTTCTAGACGACCTGCCTTTCAACGAAAGACTGGGGAACTTCCTTACGAGGCCACAGACTGTTCGCACGTTCACCGACGAGCACGACACTAGGCAAGCTAAGAACGACCTGTACGATGGCGATGTTCTGTCAGACCTCCGAGGCCAGACATCCGCTCTCCTAGCCGGCGATCTCGTGGAGACGCGCTTCGGTGGCAGCCGCTTGCCAGTCCTCGCCATCTGCCTCGGTCGCCACCACGGCCTGCAGTATTTTTACCTGAACACGGGCGAGGTGCTGGCCTACCAGAGTCTGGTTGCTCTCTTCACTGTCACCAACTATGTCGACCCTGCCGTTCTACAGCCCATTGTCGACCTGATCCCATCGGAGCCTTTTACCCGACCACGCAACGTTTTGCACCACGTGCGCACTGCGAATGCTTTGAGAACGGCAGCCGACTTGCAGGGGAGATTGACAAAGTTCTACGCAGAGGCCGTTCACTTCTACCAATCTTCTCTGAAATACATGGATGGTGCCAGCGAGCATGTGGCTGACCCGAACAAGCGCACCTACTTAAGCCTAGAGGAACTCGCTGATCGGATGCTGCCCACATTTCTCCGGGAGGGCAGCACGTTCTCGTCCCATGTTCTGTATGCCGTTCACCTTGCTCTGCAGCGTCACGGCTGGGGGTTTCGACCGCTGAACGCAAAGTGGCATCGAAGGAACTACATTTACGAGGTGCAGCCCGGCTCAGATATTGCCCTGTTGCAATTGGTCGAGTCAAGGGTGCGCCGCCTTGTCGATGGGGCGTATCTACGGGACAACCCCGGACAGTCTGCCTCCCTTTTGAAGCAGAACGATCTCGGACGGTTCATCTTACGAGCGCGTGCCATTGTCACCGCCAACCGGAGGAACAGGCCTTGGACCCCTCATGGTATGATCGGTCCCAGCAGCCAGATGGCGGAAGATCTGCCCCAGTGGGAAGAATCGGATTTGAAGTACATACGCTTCATGGAGCTGTGGGCGTGCAGGAGGGTCATTCCTCAAGCGTCTCAGATTGATAGTCTGGGATCCTCGATTCTTCGCCTGACCCAGCTATACAGCGAATCGGACTGGGTCGCCCACTGGACAGCCTTTACGTTTCTGCAAGAGATCGGCTGGATTCCGCCGTGGGATATTCCAGCCCGATACGAATACCGTTTCCCAGACACGGAGATCAGTAGGGGCGGCAGCCTGAGTCGTCCAAGCGTCGACGTCGAGGCGTCAATGAGGCCAGATATCGCTGCGGGCGCCCGCCGAGATTGGGGCGAGACCAAGATCTTCTGTGTCGACTCGGATCAGACTGCAGATGTCGATGACGGCTTTTCCATCGAGGCGACAGATGTAGCTGGCGAGCACTGGATTCACATCCACATCGCAGATCCAGCATCAGTCATTGACCCAGCGTCACCACTGGCGTCCTATATCGAGTCCATGCCCTCCAGTCTCTACCTTGCTGGCTACCCTGAGAAGATGTTGCCGCCTGAGCTAGAGCAAAAGTTCTCGCTGAACCCCGGCAAGCCGGTCCTCACCTTTAGCGCCAAGGTGAACGAAGGGGGAGAAGTCCTAGGCTACAATGTCGAGCCCGGGACTGTTCACAACGTGGTGCATATGACGAAACGTGAGGTCACGTCTATCCTGCCTGGCCTTCAGTCTTTGGAGAGCGGTGGCGATGCAGCCTTTTCTGTCGGAAAGGACCCCGGCCCTCGACCTCCCGTCAAGAAAATCACGACGGCTGACGAGCTCACGGCGGAGGATAGGGATGACCTCCTCCTTCTCGACCGCCTTGGCGAAGCCCTCAAGGACCGCCGTGCCGCCAAAGGTCAGCTTCCCACGCTGCAGTCTAGGCTCCCTTCTCCAGAGGTGTCCTTCCGGCCCATCTCTGCCAAGGAGCACGCCACAGACCCCAATGCATCCATGGTCTGGAACGGCGACCCGTTCATCAAATTATCGCACTCGAACTATAGCCAGGCCGACCGTCTGGTCGAGCGCATGATGCACACCGCCGGCGAGGTCGCCGCCAAGTGGTGCCAGTCCCGCGACATTCCAGCCCCGTACAGTACGCAGCCCGAAGCCCTCCGCAACGCAGGTGAGCTGAAACGCCTTCGCGAGGAGGTCGTCGACCCTCTGACGGCCGCCGGGAAACCCTTGCCCCCGGCCCTCCTACAGCAACTTTTCGGCCTCATCGGCACCTCAGAGCTGTCCGCTCGACCGGCGCCCTTCTACTCCGTCGGCCTCGACGCCTACACCAAGGCATCCTCCCCGCTACGCCGATACACAGACCTCATCGTGCACTGGCAGATCCACGCAGCCCTCGTCCACGAGCGCGCGAGCGGCACGGCCCCCGCCGTCGTCGCCTCCACGACCGACGCCGGCGAGCACGTGGACGCCGCCTCTTCAGCCCTGCCTTGGTCCCACGACTCCCTCTCCCGCCTGCTCCCCGCCCTGCAGGCTCGCCAGCGCCAGATCCGCGAAGTCGACAACCGCGACGGGCCGACGCAGTGGATCTTCCAGGCCCTCCTCCGCGCGTGGAAGTTTGGCGAGGCACCGCTCCCCGAGCGCTTCGCCTTTGTCGTCGACGCCGTGCTGCCGTTTGGCATCCGCGGGCGGCTGCGGGACTTTTACGGCATCGGCGCCGTCGTGCCGCTGGCTAGGCTGGATGTCGGGACGAAGCTGGCCGAGACGAACGTGGGGGATGTGCTGACGGTGGAGATCCGGGATATGAATACGTATACTACCGAGCTCGAGGTTGAACCTGTCGGGAGAGAGGTCAAGGCTGAAACTGAGGGTGCGGCTGGAGCGTAGCATCCTCGAGGGAGTCGGCTGTTCAGAAGCGTCTGCGATCAGAAGCAGAATGTCGGCTGGAATGTTCGAACGTGTACAACATGACTGTTTAAGGTACGTCAGGGGGTCGAGGTGGCTATTGCTGGCTTGTAGTCACCGCATTGTACCAATCCTTCGTGTAAGATAGATTGTATCAACAGACGACTGAATGAAACACGCATGGGTAAAGTCTCGGCACCGCTCAGTCCTACGAACAGAGGACATCACAGGCATGTTTGTCGATCGAACAAGGCACAGAAAATCTGGTATCATTCCATCGTGTAGTGAATCCCTCGATCAAACGCAGGCTCCCCTCTTTACAGCCCAGCCAGCACGCCCTGAATCCCCACCGACGCCGCATCATCCCGCTTCTGCACAAAGGCGCGGAAATCCGGCTTCGTCAGCTTCCGTGCCGCGACGCCCGTCGGCCCCGTCACAGCCAGGCCTCTCGACTTTTCTCGCAGCGCCTCCGGGCCGACGATGAAGAGCGAGCCGACCTCGGTCAGCAGCTCGACGGCGGCCTCGACCTCCTTGGTCAGCGAGCCGAAAGCCTTGAGCGTGGCGGCGTACTTTGAAATGTCCTGGGCGACCATGAGCCCGCCCGTGGCGTTGACCTGGAACTTCTTAAAGTGCTCAAAGAGGAGCGCCAGGACGGCGAGCGCGAGTTCCGACGCGAAGACCTCCATGTTGTGGCCGTCGACGGCCTGGCTCACCTGACGGGCGGCCTTGGCGAGGAAGGTACTAATCTGCAGACACGTCGGGGTCTGGAGCGAGTCGAGCTCGCCGTCGCGGGGGCGGAAGTCGAGCTTCTTCTGCGAGGAGAGCGAACGGGAGACCCAGTTGCTGAGAACGTCAATGGAGGAGCGGATCACGCTGTTTGTCTTCTTCTCAATCGTCTCGATCGAGGTCCTCGTCTGCGAGGACATGTTGCGGCGAACCGTCGTGTTGGACTCTGCGAGCTTGATGAGAACGGTGGTGATGAAGCGCTCCATGATGGCCGTGATGGTGACGGCCGGGCGAATGGTGGGCAGGAAGCTCATGTCAGGTTCCGTCTTTACGTTTTCGAGAGATGAGGACTGGTCGAGGGCAGCGTCGAGGCCCGTCTCGATGTAGACGTGGCCCATCGTGGACAGTAGGAGGTTGAGCAGAATGTTGACATCTTTGGGCGTCTCGACTGCCGAGCCCAGCTCCAGCGTCCGCCGCACGCTCTCGGCCAGCCACTTCATCATGCGCTTCGCGTTCTGCACCCGGAGTTGGCCGTCCTCCTCGGTAAGCTCAACTTCGTTCTTGCTGTCGCGGTTGGCTGACAGGCCGGCCACACGCAGCATCATGGTCTTTTGCGTTGGCGTCAATTCAGACGAGTCCAGACGTTCAAGATAGGCATCCTTGGCTGACGACATGAGCTGTGTGCTCTGCTGTGCCAGCGAGGCCATGAAGCCTGTGGGTGCCTTCTTCCTCTTGGCGTGGAAAGCCGTGAACTTGAAGAGCAGCGAGTTGTACATTTCCTCCAGGCTCTTCTTCTCCCTGTCGATGTACGAGTTGCCGACAAGGTAAGGAACGAACAGCTCCTCCATCTGCTGATCAAGGGTCTGGGAGATCTGCGCCGAGGCAGGTTCGGGGTGCTCTGTCAGGCCATGGGACTTCAGATCCTCGATCAAAGTGCTAATGTATGCTCTCGACGAGTGCAGGGATCGTAAGAAGGCCAGCGATGAGACCGTATTCGCCTTGTCCAGAACCAACTCCAGTCGCTGTTGTATTGACTGCTGGAACACCCTCTGAATGAATTTGATGAGGACCGTTTCATAGTTGGGGAAGGCGCGCTTGATGATGAACGACTCTTCCTGCATGACAATCTTGACTTCGTCAATAAGAGACTGCAGACTGGGTTCCACGCCTGGAGGATCCGAGTCGGGATCCGCAAGCTGCTCCCACGTCTCGCCGTCTGTGGTGACCTCGTCCGTGATGAGCTGGTCGCGATCAATGAAGAACTGGTGCTGGTTGACAAATACGGCAATGACGCTGGCGCCGCCGTTGAAGTCTTGCAGCACCTTGGCGCACTCCATCATGTCGTCAAAGTTTTGTCGTCGGTAGCTGTTGTTGAACTGCTTGAGCAGCTCCTGCTCAAGCCCCTCGCTGAACTTTTCGAGCACCTCGCGCGTGTTGTGCCTGCTCGCACCAGACACGCCATTGGTGACGCCGTTTGTGCGTGAGCCGTTGGTCTGGCCCCACGATGCCGGGTCGAGCCTCTGGCTCATGCGCATCAGCTGGCGGGAAATGACGGCGCATCGAACTTTGTTTTCTGCTCCGCCAATACGCTGAATGTCTTCGAGGGACGACAGCCGGCCGGTCTCGCTGACCTCGAGCCAGCATTGGATGAGAAAGATGGCATCCTGCGCCCTCCTCCTCTTCTTGTCGAGATCCTCCAGCTTCTCGCCGATTTGCACGGCGACGTTGCCTCCAACTTCCTGCCTGCCGCTTCGGTCGGGTGTGCCGTTGGAGTTGCTGAGGTTCAGATCGAGCGCTTCGAAGGATTGCATGGACTGGTCGAGCTTGCGACCGAGGGTCTCGAGTGTCTGGTCATGTTGGGCTTCAGCTCGGCGTACGTTCGACAGCAATTCGGATTCGGTCTCCTGGAGATCTTCGGACAAGGTTCCGAGTTGAGAGAGGGCGCCTGCGTGTAGCTGTCAGTCATGCGCCGCATGCCGTTTCGGGGCACAACACAACATACTCTCGAAAGTGCGGATCAGAGGTTTCGAGTCGAAAGCCTGCTGCGAGGGCCCCGATCGGCGGTTGACTGGCACCGCCGTTTCCGCGAGGGAGTCAATAAAGTCACGGACGATGAAGTCCTTGCTGGAGAAGTCCTCCAAGGAGAAGCTGGGTCCTTTGGGAAACAAGGACTTGGCGGTCCCCGACCCAGCTCGCTCCATGGCGGCGGTCGCAATTGGTGTGGGAGGGTGTTGATCTCGGTCAGACTACATCAAACGCCTTGGTTGGGACTGCAGATCCGAATCGTGGTCGAGTGCGTTGTTAGGCCGACGGGGTCTCTCTTGTTGTCGTCGCGTTGTTCCAGTGTCGTCGAGGGTGTATGATGGAGACCCGTGATATATGACGAGAGATGCGACGTCAGAAACGATACAAAAGGCCAGGAGCGCCGACGAGAGAAAAGGTAGTGTGGGTGATGGTCAGCGACACAACCCCTCCCAAATGGTGCCTGATTGGAATCGTGGAAGCTGAGGTGCGTCAATGGAGGTGCTCGGGACTGCGACTCGTCTCGGTCTCAGTCTTCGGTGGAGGGCGATCTACAGGGATGCGTCCCACTGGGGTAACATGCCGGCCAGCGGGCTGACACCCCACCAAGCAACTAAGCCACAGGTAGCTTCAGCGGACTGGTGGCGCAGCGTGGGCGTTGTCGCGTCCTGTCGTCGTAATGATCGGGTCGTCGGGGGCGGCGAACGGTGGACGATGGCAAGAGGCGCCCGGTCCAGCCTTGCCCGCCAATGCAAAGCACGTGGGTCGCGCCTGAATCGCCTCGTACCTCGCACTTGGGCCTGGTGGATGGCTGATTTCGCTGCTACTCTCACCACCTCGTCGTCATCTGCCAAGCCAGCTCCGGATTGCTCGACACCGCGCCTTACGTGGCATTTTGTGTGCCAACTACTTAGTGAGCGCGTCGACCGCTGCTACACAACCCTCGCTGGTTTCAACTGTCCATCTGTCTACATTTCTTTGCTACCGACATACGTCACACACATTGACCACGACCCTTCCTAAGTACCGACGATCTTCGACATCAGCAGCCCGCCATGGCAATGCCCGTGAGAGACCGCAAGCTCTACAAAGCCGAAATATTGCAAGCGAATAAAATTCTGAATGAGGCGGAAAGGAAAAAGATTATTCATGTGCGTCGTACTCCCAGTCCTTGGGAACGAGGACTCGATCTGACCACGAGCAGGACTACAAGCCCATAGACCAAGAAGACGACAACGACGATGAGTGGGCGGAACATGATGTCCCCTCGCACCCTCGGTTCGGTCTCCGACGCGCCCTGCGCAACAAGCTTCACCTCGCCCTCTTCACCATAATGCACAGCATCTTCTCTCTCTACATCAGGATACGACAGGCATGGCATATTGTGGCCTACCGCATATCCTCGATCCTCTTTTACCACCACCGCACACCCGCTTTCATCGAGAGAGACGTCGAGGGACTGAAGAAGAAACCGCAACACCTGAGTGTAGTCCTGAAGGTTGGGCAGGGCGGCAGGCACAGCGCCGAGCTCGAGAGGCTCGTCAACGAGGCGGCCGAGATTGCCGTCTGGTGCACATGCGCCAAGATTCCCACCCTGACGGTGTACGAGAGGACTGGTGAGTGCTTCACGACTCTTTGTGTTCCCGGGACCTGTTACTGGGACCTGTTACTGATTCGCAGCAGGCATCTTCAAGAAGTACCTGCCCCATGTACAGCAGTCGATCAACCAAAAGTTCCGCTCCTACTTCGGCCGTCACCAGCCGTCCCTCACCGTCTCCATGCCCCATGCCGACGAGGTCCTCGAATCCCCCGCTCTCGGCGATTTCGCCCGTGCCGACCCCCGCCACCTCAACATCTCCTTCATCTCGGCTGAGGACGGTCGCGAGTCCATGGTGGACCTCACGCGCACGCTCGCCGAGATGTCGCAGAAGAACAAGCTGTCGCCCAAGGACATTGGCATGGATCTCATCGGAGCCGAGCTGTCCGAGGGAATCATGCCTGAGCCCGATCTGCTCATTCTCTTCGGGCCCCATGTCGAGCTCGACGGATACCCGCCGTGGCCGATTCGCCTGACGGAGATCTTCTGCCTTCCCGACAACCAGGAAGTCGGCTACCAAGTGTTCCTGCGTGCACTCCGCAACTTTGCCAACGCCCAGTTCAGGAAGGGAAAATAAGAAGCAAAAAAGCCAAGGCCGGCATGTGTGTACATGCATCAGCCATCCACCCTAGGAAACATCGCAAGGGGGAGGAGGGGGAGGGGGGAGGCATCATTTATTTTCCCCTTTTTTTGCATTTGCTCTCTTGTATCATGTAGCTCTCGCTGCAGACAGCTTCCAATCAACTTGATACCCTCATCTCCCTGGCGACGTCGTCCCATCGGTACACAGGACCCGTGCCTACATTGTAGTTGTAATAATTCTCCGTGCCGCCCTTGACGACAGCCCGCCGAAACGTAATGTTGATTCGCCCGCCGTCCTCGGCATGCCTGCCGCTCCGCTTCGGCACAGAATGCAGCCAGTTCGCCTGCGTCGCGCCGCGCATGAGGAGCATGTCCCCCGAGCCGAGCGGAAACCTCAGCGTCCCCGGCGCAGGCCGCGGCGACGGCGCGTCGCCGCGCGGCGGACACGGCTTGTGCTTGAGCAGGAAGTCGCGGCGCGCGCCGAGCGAGAAGGAGGCGATGGCGGGGGCGGGGCCGAGGAAGCGCTCGTCGTCGCTGTGGAAGGCGATGCTGTCGGCGCCGGTGGCGTAGTAGTTTACGAGGCAGACGTTGAAGGCGCAGCCCGTGGCGGCCTCGGCGGAGCGGCGCAGGGCGTCGAGGCACGCGGGCAGCGGGCGCGGCGGGATGCGGTCGTAGCGCCTGTCGGGGCCGATGGGGACGCGGGACGTGGCGTCGACGGGGCGGCCGGCGGCGTTGAAGAGGGCCGTGGCGTCGAGGCCGAAGACGGTTGTGTAGCGCGGCGTGTTCACGTCGGTCTGGACGCCGCCGCGGGTGATTTTGTACTTGACGCGGTAGAAGGGGAGGTTGGCGCGGAGGTGGGTGAAGAGCGCCTTGGCGAGGGCGGGCGGGATGTAGGGTTCAAAGGAGAGGAGGTCGAGGTCCGGGTGGGAGGTGATGGGTTTGGCGGGGCGAGCGGGCAGGGAGGTAATCTCGCGGGTGCTTGATGGACTGAGGTCCAGTATGGGGAACGGGTAATGCTCATGAGTCGAGTGTGTTGTCTGGACTCGGTCAGTTGAGATGTGTTGGTGAGGGCGTGTTTGGCTTACAGGCTCCTCCGGGCCGGTGGCACTGGGGCGTGCTTTTTTGGCAGTGGGCGTGAAGAAGGAATCGAGAGTTCTTTTCTGCGCCATCTTGAGAATGGGATGGAACTTTTCGTGCGATGGTGATGTACTGAGCTAAAGCGCTTCCTCGATGGTAGATCGAAATGGAGTCTCCAGACGCTGCCAGTCTCCGAGCCATATAAGACCCTGCGATATCTCCGAGAAAAGAGTGAGTGATCTAGAGAAAATACTGTTCATTCGAAGGTTCGGCTACTTCATACAGGTCTTGTGGTAGACTGTCTGATCAGTCGCACATGGGCATCTCATCAACATGGACGTCACCACTCGAGCTGATGCACAGCCACATGAGTTTGCACTAGCCACATCGCCCCGCCACTCTCGCGACAAGAATATCCACGTCTTTTTCCCTGTACGCGAACCCCTCCATCGATCGACTCACACAGACTCAAAACCTCCCAGCCGAAAGCTCGGACGCCCACCATGTCTGTACGTGACAGCCTCAGGCCTTTCGTTGACCTTCCCCCCCCCTGCCCCCCTTGATTTTTTGTTGCTCCATCGGAGAACCGCATGACCATGACCAAGTCTCTAAAACGCAAACACCAGCACGACGAACCCCAGGCAAAAGGCACCATGCTCCGGCTCCACGCGCCCCTCGCTCGCGCTGCCACGACCCTGGACAGATCCCTCTTCGCCAAGACGCTCAGCCTGGCCGCCGCCACGGTGCAGGACAACCGCAACATTGCGCGCCTCCGAAAGCAGCTCACCAAGGGCCGTGAGCTGCTCGAGTGGGAGAGGCTGAACGCCTGCAAGCCTGATCCTGTCGAGGCGGGAAAGAAGTGTCTTCTGCTGAAGGAGGGCGTCAAGGCTGACGGTGAGTTTGACCCGTCCTGTAGTGAGAGTGAGACACAGACTGGCGATGGTCGCTGACGTCGGCCCTCACAGCGCCGTCGACATGGGGCCCTCTGCTGCAGGCGGCTGTCGAGGCCCAGGAGGTTTCCGTCATTCCTTATGAGCTTCAGCTCGACTACGATTACTGGTCTTACCGTGAGGAGATCCCCCGTGCCTTCATGATTGAATCCGGACTCACCCCTCGGCAGTGGATGTCATCAGCTCGATCCTGCCGGAAGACCTTCACGGAGAGATCCCCGTCGGTTTCAACACGGCTGGTCACATCGGTATGCTTCAACACTCACTCTCACACGCACCCACCACGTATGGCTGACGAGAGGACCAGCTCATCTCAACCTTCGCGACCGGTACCTCCCCTACAAGTCCATCATTGCGCAAGTCATCCTCGACAAGAACCCCAAGCTGCGCACCGTCATCAACAAGACGGACAATGTCGGCACCGAGTCCGAGTTTCGCACGTTTACCTACGAGGTCCTCGCCGGCCCCAACGACATGGACGTCGAGGTCAAGGAGAACGACTGCACGTTCCAGTTTGACTACTCCAAGGTCTACTGGAACAGCAAGCTCGAGACGGAGCACTCGCGCCTCATCCGCCTGTTCCAGCCGGGCGAGGTCGTCGCCGACGTCATGGCGGGCATCGGCCCCTTCGCCATCCCCTCGGGCCGCAAGGGCGTCTTCGTCTTCGCCAACGACATGAACCCCGAGAGCTACAAATGTCTCGACGCCGCCATCGCCCGCAACAAGGTCGGCCAGTACGTCCGCGCCTTCAACCAGGACGGCCGCGCCTTCATCCACGCGTCGGCGCGCCTCGTCCGCGAGGCCGCGGCGCGCGGCGACGAGGTCGTCCTCCACCCCAAGACGTCCCGCAACAGGAGCCCCGGCGACCCCATCCCCGCGCCGACGCGCATCCCCCTGCCCGCGACCGTCAGCCACTTTGTCATGAACCTGCCGGCCTCGGCCACGACCTTCGTCCACCACTTCCGCGGCCTCTACCACGGCCAGGAGGCCCTCTTTGCGCCGTACACCCTCGCCCAGCTGCCCCTGGTGCACGTCCACTGCTTCGCCGTCAAGCAGGACGACGAGGTGCCGCTCCTCGACATTTGCGACCGCATCTTCCACGAGATTGGCGTCCGCTTCAAGCCTGGAGACGCCGCGAACGAGGGCGAAATGTCCATTTACAACGTCCGCGACGTCGCCCCCAAGAAGCGCATGTTCTGTGCCTCTTTTCGCATCCCACCCGAGGTGGCCTTTGCCTCTGAGACGTCTTGAACGGAGGAGGAGAAGGAGGAGGAGGAGGAGGAGGAGGACGAAGGATGCAGGAGAAGCGTGGATTCCGCCTCGTTTCTTCCGCGCGAGAGAAGTGACGTCGAAATGGGGAGGATTCAGCCAGTCAGCCCAACCATGCCATTCATCGACGGCGATGAGCCGCCAAAGTTGACCAGTTGCCCCACACAGCTCATCTGTATCACGAGCATTGGCCCGTTGTTGGGCAAATCCTCCTCTCGATCGGGGCCGCTTGGCAAGAGGTGAAACCGGAGGGAGAGAGGGTGCCTGCGAGCGGGTACAACCCGGAACGGACTAGAAAAACGGGACGATGCTGCGGCCAAGAGCGAGTTTTCTGGTTGCCCGCCCGGCATGGAAATCTTTCCGGCCGGCAGCCCGGCATTGTTCACGCGGGGGCTTGTCTATCAGCATCCTTGTGTGCTCCGCCGCCCCTCCCACCCCCATGTCGCGGGAAATCCCTCGAACGCTGCAAGTTTGTGGCGATCACCGGCCCTTCCAGACGCCGACTGCTTCGGGCGACGTGCATTGGACGCAGGAGGCTGACAAAGACCCGACCAAGGCTGCAGAGGCAAACACACACGCTGGCCGACAAGCACGGCTGGATGGCTGAACGGATGAATGGAATGGGACATCCAGGCGAATGGCAGGCAAGGAGACAAGAGCAGAGAGGGATGTCGACAGAGAGAGAGAGAGAGAGAACGGAGGAACGAGAATGGCGAGGCGGGAAGGGAGCGGAGCAGGGGGGGAGGGGGGCCAACAGTTGCATCCCGTCGACCAGTTCTCGAATCTGACATGCGTCTTGAGAAAGGGAGGGGTCGAGAGGAGATGTTGATAGGCAACAAGGCCTCCCAACGAGCCACTTCCGAAGAGTCGGATGCCATACTCATAGCCCACCGTATCCGAAAGCATGGTCGTGCAGCAGCGGCAGATAACAAAATGCATAATTGCTCCGACATATCGGTCTCGTCACGCACGTCACCTGTGCTTCATGCCCGATAACGTGATCCAAGCCAACGCCGTCAAGCCACTCAGCGCCCCTCTCTCCCTACGCCCTTTCTGCGACGCGACGCTCGCCTTCTGCACCATCACGGCCGTCTGGGGAGATTGGTACACGTTGGGCTGGGAGGGAAGGGAGGGGATCGGTCAAGATGCAGTCGTCCCCGCACTTTTCTTGATAAAGACCAAGACGAAGCAGGCGACGGACAACCAGCCAGCCAGCCAGCCAGCCAGCCAGCCAGCCAGCCTGGCATCCAAGCCAAGACGTAGCACGCAGGAGAAGCGACAACAGCAGCACCCTGCCAAGCTGCGTGGCACACATCGACAAGCTCCTGGGCGCGTGTAGCCTCCTCCTCCTTCCAGTAGCTCTGGGTGACATGTGAACGCCGCCCACGGTACGTGGCTGTCGACAGACGTGTTGCGACGCTGCGATGACTCTCCCCCGCCATCGCCGCCTCCGCCACCCTTTGCTCGGTTCCTACCCTTGGGTCGGTCCAGTCTGTCGACACGTCTCTGTATGGCGCGAGCGAGCGGCTGGCCGACTGGAGGTTCGCGCCGTGTCACCAATGTGTCAAACAGACACCTGGGCCCGTCGCCACCTACGCATCGTGCGACCCCAATGTTGGAGGGGGGTCGCCAGCGCGGAGGGGGCGCACTTCGTTTCCCGACGGTCATTGCGCTGTCAATGGCTTCCTGCAATGCCACACCCGTTTGCTTGCATTCTTTCCGTTCGTGGCGGGGTGCGGAGGACCCCGACGTCGAGGTCAAAGGGGGGAAACACGTCGTTGGCCAGCAACACTAAATAATCATCAATTGAATCAAACCACACGAGACGGCATGGCGTCGTTGACCGACCGTGTATAGATCTGAGGCGTTGCAATCCGCAGATCCCAGAACCCCCGCCACCGCTGCAGAATGACGAATCTTGGCTCGTACGAGGCCCGCCACGATAACGCAACCCCCATTATCACCCGTCAACTACGTTCAGCCTCTCCCTCTCGATGAGCCAGCCACGAAGCAGATGGAAGAGGGGGGAGGGACCACCAATGGAGGCTCAACACCACACAGGGCTTGACGACTGGCTGCGGAGCGCCGGCCTGGCCTGCATGACGGAGGCCACGGGCGGCGCAACGGCTGATGAAACAAAGACCGGAACTGTCGTGCGAGTCCGCCCCAACCTTAAGTCGCGGAGATATGATTTTCTTCACTATTTTTTCGGTTTCCATTGCTCTCGATTTCGTAATCCCGCAGCATGCTTTGCAGGCGGGCCTTATCCAAACGAGGACCAACGCGCATGGCCTTGCCCTGATTCCAATGTCAGTCGTTGGCAGCATATCCCTACCACCTCAACCAGCTTTCGAGCCCAGAATTGGCGCCATTGCTCCAAGACCTCAATACGTGCGTCTGCCGTCTCCAGCCCCCGTGTTGGCGCCACTCCGCCGAGCAAGCGAGGGCGCATTCATCCACCCGAAGGGTTGAAACGTACACAGTATAACCATCACTGGCGCCGCAGGGCCGCACCAGGCCATGCAACGTGCTTAGACCAGAGGCCCATCTCTGTGCTCAGAAGCCGTGGTCCAGTGTTTGCCTGCTCTGTTGGTTCTGCGAGGCAGTACGTATCTCAGGTTGCATCCTCCCGCAAGCTACATTCGGCTCCGCTCATGCAATGTCGGCTTTGCTAGATAGGGCCCCATTTGGATACCTTGTCTCGCCGAGGCTTGCATGAAAAGGGTCAATGGTCTCGCAGACGGCGTTGTGGCCATGTCTAGACGGAGCAGACGGTTCTGCCCATCTCTCGTACATGTCAGGCCCAAATTGACATGTCCCCATACCCGCTCGAGCGGATGCATGTACCTTGGTAGGTGGCATGGCGACTTCGATGTCGCTTGCGGAGGCGCTATCAGATATGAATCCCTCAGCAATTATACACAGGCATGTCGTTCCCGTGGAGAGTGCCAAGACGGACGATCGAGGTCTGGATGGCGCGTGAGACGAAATCCGCACACCATCTGAACCATGCTGAAAAGAATGGGGATTAATCGTGGGACCCGATTTAGTCCGTGGGGGTTCGTTGGCATGGTTTTCTGTGACCCTCGAATAGCCGCTCGCGGCTCTGTTGTTTGAGACTGAAGAGACATCGATCCACATTGTACACCTTCGCTCGATATACACTCTGATCGAATTTCCCATGACAGTCATAGGGCTCCTTCCCTACCTCTTGGTCCTCTCGAAAGAAATGTAGGTACATCGGATGCGCTTCAAGGAACATTGTAAGACAGTGGCTGCAAGTGTGGCTTCTGGAACCACGTCAAAATTCCATCCCACGGATAGGATAGGTCAAGTGACTTGTCAGTCACCGTTCCTTGCCCCCGGGGGCAAGCCCCGGCGAATGACCATTGGGCGAAAAGCTCTGTCTGTCGTGTGTACAGTATACGGAACATGTTGACGTGGAAGGGGGGGGGGTATCAGAGCGCGAGGGTGTGAGGGAGAGACACATCCATGACTTGGAGGATGTGGGGGTCAGCGTTTGTGCAACAACATCCTGTCATTGTCTCGACAAGATTCGTCAATTCCTCCCGGGTGCCGGAAGGCTTGCGAGTGCCACAGCCACGGCTTTCAGGGGGGGATAGCTTGTGATGTGACTGATCGCAAATAACACCAGCCTGATCGTGTTTTGTGGCAGGCAGCGAGATCTCTTGGCCGGGCCGTTAGTGCTGTCAGTACGTTACTTTCGAATTCCTTGTCGCTGATGCGCTCGGCGCAGGACGAGGCCACAAGGGGGAACATACTTCAGGAAGATGAAAACACACCCTGCCACAACAAACATGGTGCATAACGCATGCAAGTGTCAAGCCATCAGCCGCTGGCAAATATCCGAGCCTGCCTTTCTGTCTGCAGCTGATTGTAATCGGTAATCGGGTGGGCAGGCAAACACGAGCTCGAGGGTTTGATGATGGAATAGTGACGAGTCTTACGCCAGCGCCCCCCCCTCTTTTTGAGTTGGCGCACCGACAATTGGCGTTTGTATCTCGAGCCGTACGTAGCCACTGGCAAACTTGAAGCCGTTCGTTTTGTACCAAGCGGGGACAGCTTTTGCTGGCCGGCATCAGCCAGTCTAAAGTCGCTTCTGTTTGTAAACGGTACACGTACAGAGACTGAAACAATTTTCGTTCGCCATCCTCAAAGTCCACGACCGCGGGGGGTAAGGCAACGGAGAGAGGCCCGTTTGAGGCTCTGGCCGCTTGCGTTCAGGTTGCACGCGCTGAAGCAAGCCCCCGCCCGGGGCCCCCAACGAACGAAAGGATGGCACGAAAAGGCCTACCCTCCGTCAAAGATCCGCTCAGTTGGCCGCCAAGTCGCTCCGAGAAACCTCTCGGCACCGGCACGGACGCATGGATCCCCTGGAGGCGAGGCCAGTCCTCGGCCAGCTAAAAGGCATAGCCTTTGTCGTTCCTACTCTAGCCAGAAATCTAGGCCCTCCCGGTTCAGACTAGATGGATGCATTACCAGGGCACGATGTACCAGTGATCGTCTTGGGGGGTTTTGTGTTGAAGCGTCACTAGGACGGCCCGCCCTCCAGCCCCTTCGACTGAGAAGGCCCGCCGAGCTTCACGGGCAGTTGGCCGGCCAGTGGTTATCCGGCCCGGCAATGGATGGGAAAGTCGCAGTGAGGAGCAAAGATGATGACTGAAAGAGCGCCAGCTGCGATAATGGATGAAGCGGTGGCGATGGCAGTAGATGCTACCAGCACGACATTTCGTCCATCTCCGCCGGTTCACCAAGCCGTGGGATGCAAGCCCGCCAGCCATTCCTGCAAGCCAACGACGAACCGTCTCGTGGTTATCGCACAGTTCACCACAAACCAGCATCCACCGTGCAGGCTTACCATGTGTCAAAGCCTGTGGACGAAACAGCCTCAGGGAACGACTGGGGGTTGCGTGGGGCTACTGTGTACCAAACAGTAGACCAGACCACACACACACGCTACC